GGCAGCCCCGCAGGGGTTAAAGTGCCACATTGGCAGCGCGGGGGGGACGCGGGGGGACGCGGGCGCGGCCACGACTGGAACCAGTTAGGCCGAGGAACTGGGAGGGGGGAGGACACAGGAGGGGGCAATGCACCACTGGCATAGGTGGAAGGGGGGAAATTAGGGGCGTTTTAGGGGATTCTATCCCCTCCCACCCCGTTTGTGCCCAGATGTACACGGTAGGGTTCCTGTGGAGCCCCCAGGACCCCCCTCGTGGGTCCCCCCAAAACTGGGTGCCTCTTTCTACCCTCACAAAGGGGTCTGCAACTCCCCGAAAAGAACAAGGGTCGGGGCCCCCGAGCCCCTCCAAAGCAGGGTCCAGGACCCCGACCTCCCCAAAAGTGTCCTGTGTGGTCCATGTCCCTGTGCCCCTCCAATACCGGGTCCCCATTTCTGACCCCCAAAGGGCTCCGGGACACCGCGACCTCCCCCAAAAACAGGCTCCAGGTCCCCCGAGCCCCCAAAGGGGCTCCCCCAGTGCGGTCCCCGCGTCTCTGTGCCCCCCCCGCCACCCCGGGTCCCTCCTGGGGGGAATTTGGGGACGTCCCCCCCTTACTCACTCGCCCCCCGCCGCGCGCACGCCCCCCTGCCACCCCCTCGCGTCATTCCCGCACACGCCCAGGCCGCTCCGGCACCCACGCGCGTCACTCCCACCACCCCCGCGGCACCCCCGGGTCACCCTCACCCCCCCTCAGGAGCGTTCACACCCTGGGACACGCTCGCACCCCAGCTCCCGGCACACCCACGCACCCACCCGCGGACACGGGGCCAACCCCACGCCCGCCCCGACACGCCGCCTCCCGCACACGGGCACTCGCTGGCACAGCCGGGCTCACTCTCGGAGACCCCTCCCCACGGCCCCGACCCCCCACGCTCCCCACACCCACTCGCAGCCGCGCCCCCGCCTCTCCCGCGCAGTCACCCCCGCGGGGGCACAGCCAGCGCACGCTCACGCTCATTTGCACACGCACTCGCACGCCCAGAGGGTCTCCCGAGCACCCCGAGCACCCACTCGCGACACGAACACTCCCCACGCACCCACCGCGCGCCCCCACTCGCTCTCACACCCGTTTGCACGCTCAGTTCACACCTGGCCGCGCTTCCCCGCCCCCCCCAGCCCCACACACACTCGAGAACCCTCCCACCCCTCGGGCGCTCCCTATCCCCCTCACCCCTCGCCCCCGGCCCCCCCGGTACCTCTGCGGGCGGGGCCCCCGCAGCCGGCGGGCACCGGGACCCTGCGCAGGGCGCAGCCCCCGCGGTTCGTCACGTCGTGCAGCCGCCGCGGCGCCGCCGCCGCCTCCACGCAGCCGAACATGGCGACCCCGGTCCCCCCGGGCCCCCCGGGCCCGCCGCGATCGGTCGCGATCGGCCCCGGTCGCGATCGGCCCCGAGCGGCCCCGGAGGGTGCGGCTGCGGGGGCGGGGCCTGAGCGAGGGGCGGGGCCTGAACAAGCTGGGGCTGGAAGGCGAGCGGGGAATGGGGCGGGGTCTGGGCGGGGCTTCGGTGGGAGGTGGTGAACGGCGACGGGAAACGGGGCGGGGCCTGGAGGGGCGGGGTCGTTTGGAATGTGAGAGCTGGAGTATAGGCGGGGCTTAAATGGGCGGGGCTAAATTGGGAACAGGGCCGGGGTTGAGATGGAGGGGCTTGGAAGGGGAGTGGCCTGGAGTGGCCGGGCTGAGCAGGAACGAGGCGTGGCCTCGGGGATGGGCGGGGCTGGACGGGGAATGGGCGGGTATTGGAGCAGAGGGCGCGGCCTGGGGCGCGGGCACGCGGTGTCTCGTACACACGTGTCATATGTGTCACATGGTATCAGGCGTGTTTGTTCCCTCCTTGTGTCCTCCCTCCCTGGGGGGCACCCAGGCCCGCCCCCTGTCTCCCCCAACCCCTCCCAGTCCTCCCAGTCCCCGCGTCGTTACGCCCTCCCCAGTCCCTCCCAATTCCACGCCGTGCACTCCCAGTCCTCATGTCATCACCCGTCTCCCCAGTCCTCCCAGTTCTTCCAGTCCTTTCCAGTTCCCTGTCACTACCCCAGCCCTTCCTAGTCCCTCCCAGTCCCCTTGTCACCCCTCAATCCCTCCCAGTCCTACCAGTTCTCCCAGTCCCCCGCGCCATCTCCCCAGTCCTTCCCAGTCCCTTCCAATCCCCTTCTCACTTCCCCCAGTGTGTGCACTGTGGACAGGTGTGTGCCAGCATGTCCAGGTGTGTGTGAGCATATCCAGGTGTGCACAGGTATGAGTGGGTGTGCGCAGCTGTGTCTGGGTGTGCAAGGGCTATGCCAGCACTGCCTGCCCGACTGCATTTCTGGGGCTCTGCAGGAGTAACACACCTGCACACGGGATCATTGCACAGCTCACACACCTGCACACAGGATCATTGCACGTGTCACACACCTGTACAGAGGATCACTGCACAGGTCACTGCATGTGTCACACTTGCACACAAGTTGATCACATGTAAAGAAAGGCATGTCACACATCTGTACGTGGGGATGATCACATGTCACTGCGTGTCACACACCTGAACACGGGATGGTGAGGTGTCACTGTGCGTGTCACATACCTGTACATAGGATGATCACATGTCACTATGTGTGTCACAGACCTGTACACAGGATGATCCCATGTAACTATATGTGTCACACACCTTTACACAGGATGGTCATGTGTCACGCACCTGTACATGCGATGGTCACATGTCACTGCACGTGTCACACACCTTTACCCAGCCTCCAGTGAGCACACACATGTCTGGGCATGAGGACACATGTGCAGGGTGTGTCCCTGCACGTCACACGCACGCACACACGTGTCCCCATGTCCGGACATGCGTGTAACCCACCCCCGCCTCTCCCCCCGTGCCGGGAAAAGGGGAGGGGAGGGGCTGGAGTGGGGGAGGGGCAGGAATGGGCTCATGGAAAATGTTTTGGGTGGAAATTCCTCTCCCCGCCCCTCCCCCACTGCAGCTCAATGGCCCCTTTGTGCAGCCCCGGCCTTGCCCCCGCCACGCTGGGACCCCCCCGTGTGCCTAGCCCAACCCCCGTGTCCCCCCGTTTGTTCTCCTGTTTGTCCCCCCATGTCTCCCCACAGCCCCCATGGCCCCATAATTTCCTGTGAGCCCCAATCGTGTCCCCCGTGTCCCACATGTCCCCAACCTGTGTCTCCTCGGTAACATCCCCCCGTAATCCCCATGACCCCCAAGTCACCATAACTCTGGGTCCACCCAATCGTGTTGCCCCATGTCTTTCGTGTCCCCTGTGACCTCCCCATGTCCCCAGGGTCCCGTGTGTCTCCCCATGGCCCCCGTGTCCCTTATGCTGCTGCATGCCCCATAACCCCTTCCTCCCCCCAGTCGTGTCTCCCCGGTGTCCCCTGTGCCCTACCATGCCTCCATAATCCCGTGTCTCCAACCATGCTCCCCATGTCCCCTGTGCACCCCTATGTCCCCTGTGTCCCCCCAGCTGTGTTCCCCATGTCCCCGCACATCCCCATTTCCTCCATGTCCCGAACGTCCCCCATGTCCTGTGTATCCCCCCATGTCCCTGTGTCCCCACATTGCCTCCAAACTCATGTTCCCTGCCCTCAATTTTCTCCATGTCTCCCATGTCCCCTGTGCCCCCCCATGTCTCCTGTGCCCCCCTGCATCCACTGTGCACCCCCATAACCCCTGTGTCCCCCTGTGCTCTCCCGTATCCCTTGTGCCCCATCGGGTCCCCGGTGCTCTCCCATATCCCCCTCCCCACTGCACCCCCCTCATTCCCCCTATCCCCAGGTCGCCCCATGTCCCCCGTGTTCCCCCACCCCCCATCTTCCCCATGTCCCCGGTGTCCCCATGTCCCCTGTGCCCCACTCCGTGTCCTCATGTCCCCGTGTCTCTCACCCACGGGTGCCGCCACGTGCCCCCCCCGCTCCCCCCGCTCAGCCGCTTTGCCCGGTAAATCCCCGGGGGGGGCGTGGGTTGCGAGGGGGGAGGCTCGGCCATGGGGCTGGGCTGGCCGCGACCCCGGCCCCGCCGGCGCGGGGGAACGTCCCCGCGCTGTCACCCCCCCTGTCACCTCCCACCCTGCTGCGCCCCCCCCTTCTGCTCCCCGCCCTGCCCCTTCTGCTCACCCCCGTCCTGCTGCCCCCAGTGCCACCCCCCGCCCTGCTGCGCCCCCCCCTACTGCCCCCTGCCCTGTCACCCTTCCTGCCACCCCTCCTGGTGCCCCCCACCCCCCTGTCCCCAGTGTCACCTCCCACCCCAGTGCTTCCCCCAGTGCTTCCCCCAGTGCTACCCCCTGCCCTGCTGTCCCCAGTGTCCCCCCCTGCCCTACCACCCCCCTCCTTGCACCCCCCAGTGTCACCCCCCTCCCTGCTGCCTCCAGTATCACCCCCCGCCCTGCCGCCCCCCCTGCTGCGCCCCCCCCGCCTGTCCCCAGTGCCAAGCCCCGGCCTGTCCTCCCCCGTGTCACCTCCGATGCTGCCCCCCCCCGCGCCGCGTCCCCCCCCGGCCCCGCCTGAGCCTCAAGTGAGGGGGGCCCGGCCCCCCCGCGCCGCAGCGCGGACCCCCGGAGGCGGCGGTGAGTGAGGGGCGGGCAGGGCAGCCCCCGGTACCGGGACACGGAGAGGGGGTTCCGGGCGGTTCCGGGGGTACCGGGGGGGTTTGCTCGAGGCTCTTCGCACGAGCTCTCTGAGGGCGCGGGTCCCCACAAACCCCCCGCGGCGTGTCAGGGGGCGGCTCTTTGGGCTGGGATGCCGCACACCCCCCACGGGGGGTACAGTGGGGGACACTCGGGGGTCTCCGCAATCCCTCGTGTGCTGTCTGAGGGTCCCTCGGGGGGTCCCCACCGGTCCCCGCGGGTCTCTGGGTGTCTCTGTGGGCACCTGGGGGGCCAGTGCGGGAGGCCTCTGTCACGTGACACGGGCCAACATGGCGGCGCCCATGGGACCGGAAGCGGAAGTGGCTCGGCAGAGGCGCCGCGGAGCAGCTGCGACGCCGGCGGGGCCCGGGGGTATGGAGGGGACCCTGAGGGACCCACGGGTTACCGGAAGGGATGGAGGGGGTTTGGAGGGTCTGAGAGGTGTCTGGGGGCATCCTATGGGGCAACTCTGGGGTCGGGGTGGGGGCTATGGGAGTGGAGGGGGTGCTGTATGGCTCTGTAGGGGGTATATGTGGGAGGCTTAAGGAGGATTTGGGGTGCGAGGGTCCTGTGGGGGGGTGTGGGGGTTCTATGAGGGTCTTATGGGGAGTCTGTGGAGGTTCTATGTGGGGCCCGTGGGAATCTGGAGCTTGGGGGGTATGGGGGGTTGTGGGGCACTCTGGTGGGGGTTTGGGGTCTGTGGGGGTTCTGTGGGGCCTGGGGGGGGGGGGTCTGTGTGGCCTTGGAGGGGTGGCCTGTGGAGGAGCTGTGTGGTGCTGGGAGTCCCTGTGTGGTGGGGGGTCCCTAGGGAACCCATGGGCTGTCTGAGGAATTTGGGGCACCTGGGTCGTGCCTCGGAACTCTCCCAGTTCCTCCTCGTGCTGATCTCCCTTTTTCCCTTCCCCAGGCCCTCTTGAGCCCCCTCCCCACCATGTTCCTGCTGCCCTGCTCTGCCCTCGCCCTCCTCCTCCTCACTTGCCTGGCTCTGGAGCCGGCCCCGCGCCGCCCCCCGCCCTCCAACCCCGCGTTCCGCAGCTTCCAGCGGCAGTTCCTGCTGGGATACCTGCCGGCGCTGGCCGCCGACTGGCTGCAGGGCCCGCTGCTCTTCCAGCTGCTGCACAGCCGGGGCTTCCTGCGCAGCCAGATCGCCGCCCTTTACTCCTGCGGCTTCGCCTCCAACGTCGCCTTCGGCCTCGTTTCCGGGGTTTTTGTGGACCGGCTGGGCCGGAAGAAGTCCTGTGTGCTGTCCTCGGGGCTGTGCTCCGTGTCCTGCCTGCTGCAGCTCTCCCACGATTTCCTGGCCCTGGCGGCCGCCCGGGTCCTGGCAGGGCTCGGCACTTCCCTGCTCTTCTCCGCCTTTGAGGTCCTGGTACCTCCATGAGCACCTGGAGCGCCACGACTTCCCTGCCGAGTGGATTCCTGACACCTTCTCCCGCGTGGCGCTCTGGAACAGCGGCCTGGCCGTGGCAGCTGGCCTGCTGGCCTGGCTGCTGGCCGAGGGGCTGCTGCTGGGCCCCGCGGCCCCGTTCCTGGCGGCGCTGCCCTTCCTGGCTCTCTCGGGGATCTTCGCTGGGAAAAACTGGGATGAGAACTACGGGAAGAGCCGGCCCTGTGGGAAGGCCTGCGGGGAAGGCCTTCGGGGCCTTGTGTCCGAGCCCCGGGCGCTGCTTCTGGGGCTGGTCCAGGCCCTGGTGGAGAGCATCCTGCTCATCTTTGCCTTCCTTTGGACGCCGGTCCTGGAGCCGCACGGGATCCCGCTGGGAATCGCCTTCTCGGCGTTCATGGCCGCCAGCGCCGCGGGCTCGGCGCTGTTCCGACGCGGTGCCACCGGGAGGCTCCGGCTGCAGCCGCTGCGGCTCCTGCCCGGCTCCGTGCTGCTGCTGGCGCTGGCGCTCGTGCTCCTGGCCCTGCCGCTGGACGCCCCCGGCGACTTCTTCGCCGTGCTGCTGCTGCAGCTCTCCTGCGGGATCTACTTCCCGGCCATGGCGTTCCTGCGGCGCCGCCTGGAGGGCGGGGGTAATGCGGCGGGAGGAGCGCGGTGGCTGCGGCTGCCCCTAGGCCTGGGGGTGGCGCTGGCACTGCCAGCGCTGCCCGGGGACCCCCCGGGGACACGGGCCGTGCTCGGGGCCGCCGCCCTGGCGGCGCTGGTGGCGTTGGGGGCAGCCGGGGGGGTCCTGGGCACCAGCCGTGGGGACGAGGGGCTGAGGGTGGGGGACGAGGGGCTGCTCGAGGGGGACACTGGGGAGTGACAGGCACACTGGGACAGGGACACTGGGACAGCTCAGCAGCGACACCTGGCTCTGATGGGGACACTGGGACAGTTTGAGGGGGTCACTAAGGTGTGACAGGAACACTGGGCTGTGACAGGGACACTGGGACAGCTCGATGGGGACAGGGGCACTGGGACAGCTCGATGGGGACACTGGGGTGGGACAGGGACACTGGGACAGCTCCATGGGGACACTGGGGTATGACAGGGACATAGGGGTGTAGTGCTGGGGTGTGACAGGGACATCAGGACAGCCTGATGGGAACACTGGGGTGTGATAGGAATGGGGATGCTGGGGTGTGACAGGGACAGCAGGACAACTCAGTGGGGACACCAAGGTATGACAGGGACACTGAGATATGAGAAGGACAGAGACACTGGGATGTCACAGTGACAGGAGCACCGGGCCAGCTCAATGGGGACACCAGGGACACAGGGACAGCTTGATGGAGCACTGGGATTTTACGGGGACAAGGACAGTAACACCTATCTGGGACAGGAACACTGGGACAGCTCAACAGGGACACCAGAATGTGACAGGGTCAGGGACACGGGACGAGCCCATGGGGTCACCAGGCAGTGATGGGTTCAACAGTGTGACCCCTGTGTTGAGCTGTGAGTGACAGAAACACCCCATGGGGACACTGAGCGGTGAGGGGTCACAGTGTCACCCCACAATGGACTGTGGGTGGCTGGGACACCCCTTGAGGACACTGAACTGCAGTGGGTCACAGTGCCACCCCATGATGGACTTTGGGTGACTGACACTGGGACACCCCAATCATGACAAGGAACTGTGACAGGTCACGGTGTCACCCCCATGGCTGAGCTGTGGGTAACAGTGACACTGGGACGCTCCGATGGTGACACAGAGCTCTGCTGGTGACCCATTACCAGTGCCATCCCCACAACGAGCTCTGGGTGGCAACATGGGGACACCCCGAGGTGACACTGAGCTGGGACAGATCACGGTGTCACCCCCATAACGAGGGGATGGGGACACTGGTGCACCCCCAGGTAACTCCTGGGCTGTGACAGTCACAGTGCCACCTCCCCCACGGCACAGCAGAGGGGACATGGGGACACCAGACCAGCTGTGGCCTGTGACCGACCCCGTGTGCTGTCATGGGTGTGGGGGTGTATTAATTACTTAATTAATTTCTAATAAACCCACCCAGTAGAGGTGTTTGTGAAGTCCTCCTCCTCCCCCCTGGGTCTGGGGGACCCTGAAACCCCCCTTGAGCGGCCCCCAGTTCAAACCAGTGACTCCCAATCCAGCCACATCTCCAGTGTGAGCACAGCGCTGGTTTGTCCCCAGGCTGAGCCCCTCAGTGCCCCCAGTATCCTCCAGTTCCCCCAGTCCTCCCAGTAACCCCCCCATCCTCCCAGTTCCCACCTGTCTCCCCAGTTTCCTCCATTCCCCCCAATCCCTCCGCAGTCCTTCATAGTCCTCCCCAATCCCTCCCAGTCCCCCCCAGTTCTCCCCAGTTCCCTCCATTCCCCACGGAGCCCCCCGTCCCGCAGGGGGCGCCCTTACGCATCTCGCCCCATGCCTGCAACGTCACGTGGTCATGACGTACACTGCCCGTTTTCCTCGGTAGGCTCCGCCTTCCTCCCGTTTCGTCCTCCGATTGGCTGAGGGAGCCGTCAGTGGGGGCGCAGCGGGTGGCGATTAGTCCGCGGGGCACAGTGGGCGGGCATAGGGAGGCGGAAGCGAGTGGGACCCGGATGTGAGCGCGGCCCATGGAGGGGGCGGGACCCCCGGTAAGGGGCGCTGGGGGCCGGGGGGCTCTGGGGGAGATGGGGAGGGGTCCTGAGGAGCTCTGGGGAGACGGGAAGAGCCCGGGCTGGGGAGTATGGCAGCGATTTGGGGGTCCTGGGCGGAACTGGGGAGGTCGGGGGGGTCGCATGGTGGGGGGCGGCCGCGGTGCGGGGGGAACGGGGGGGGTCGGGGGTGCTGGGGAAGGGAGACCCCCGGCATGGGGGGACCTTGGTGTGGGGCGGGGGTCGGGATTGGGCTGGCAGGTGTGATTGGGGGGGGGGAGGGGTCAGGTGTGATTTGGGTGTGCCAGGTGTGATGTGGGGGTGTCAGGTGTGATTTAGGTGTGTTAGGTGTGGATTTGGGTGTGCAAGGTGTGGGTTTGGGGGTGCCAGGTGTGGGTTTGGGGGTGTCAGGTGGATTTGGGGTGGTCGGGTGTGGATTTGGCTTGGTCAGGTGTGGGTTTTGGGGTGTCAGGTGTGTGTTTAGGGGGCGGTTTTGGGGTGTCAGGTGTATGTTTGGGGTGTCAGGTGTGTGTTTGATGGCGGTTTTGGGGTGTCAGGTGTGTGTTTGGGGGCGGTTTTGGGGTGTCAGGTGTGTGTTTGCGGTGTCAGGTGTGTGTTTAGGGGCGGTTTTGGGGTGTCAGGTGTGTGTTTAGGGGCGGTTTTGGGGTGTCAGGTGCGGGTTTTGGGGTGTCAGGTGTGTGTTTAGGGGCGGTTTTGGGGTGTCGAGTGTGGGTTTTGGGGTATCAGGTGTGTGTTTGGGGTGTCAGGTGAGTGTTTGGGGGGCGGTTTTGGGGGATCTCGGGTTCTGGGGGTTCCTGGCCGATTTGGGGTGTCAGTTTCGGGTGTGTCGGTCCCACCCGTCCTTTCGGGGGTCCCAGCGTTGCCTCCCCGCAGGAGCCCCCCCGCCATGGATGACCTGAACCTGCACTTCAGGTTCCTCAACTGGCGCCGGCGGATCCGGGAGATCCGGGAGGTGCGGGAGGGCCGGGACCGGGACCGGGACCGGGATCGAGGCCTGCGCTGCCAGGAGCGCGCCCGACACATCCTGGTGGACGGGGACACCCTCAGGTATCCGGGGGGAGCCCCAGGAGGGGCTGGGGGGCACCCACAAAAAGGGGGTGTGGGAGGGGCCTGGGGGGGGCCCAAGGAAGGAAGGAAGGTGGGGGGGATGCACCCAGGGGGATGGGGGGGGGGGCCTGGGGGCACCCATACACCTGAGGGGTGTCTGAAGGTACCCGGGGGGTGTCGGGGGCTGTCTCAGCCCCGGTGCTGTCTCAGCCCCGCCCCTGCTCCCCGCAGCTACCGCGGCCCCTCGGGCGAGGTTGGCTGTTACGTGGCCCCGCGGCCGCTGACCCGCGACAGCAACTACTTCGAGGTGAGCGGGGGTGCGGGGGGCGCGGGCCGGCCCGGGGGCTGTGCCGGGGGCTGTGCCGGGGGCTGTACAAGGGGATTATCCCGGGGGGCTGTGCCGGGGGACACGGAGCCCTGACCCCGCCGGGCCGTGCCCAGGTGTCCATCGTGGACAGCGGCGTCCGCGGCACCATCGCCGTGGGGCTGGTCCCGCACTGCCACAGCCTCGAGCACCCCCCGGGATGGGGGCCCGGCTCCGTCGCCTACCACGCCGATGATGGAAAGTGAGTGTCGCGATAGCGGGGGGCGGGGCCGGGAGGGCGGAGATTGTTCGGGTAGTGGGGATGTCGCGATAGCTAGCGGAGAAGCGTTGGGATAATTGCGGGTGTTGGGATGGTAAGGAATTTGAGGACGCTGATAGATGTCAGGATGTGAGATGAAGGATGGAATGATTTGGGATGTCAGGGGTATTGGGATAGCAGGAGGATGTCGGGATATTGGGGAGTGTTGGGACTTTGGGGATGTCAGATATTGGGGAGTTTTGGGACCTTGGGGGTTTTGGATATTGGGGAGTGCTGGGAGCTTAGGCGTGTTGGATATTGGGGATTGTTGGGATATTGGGGAGTGCTGGGACCTTAGGGGTGTTGGATATGGAGGGGGGGCCAGGGGGGCAGCAGGACTGGGAGGTGTTGGGGGGCACCTGGGCCTGTCACGATATTTGGGGTATGCTCCAGGTTTGAGGTCCCCCCTTAGTAACACTCTCTCCAATCTGACCCCCCCTTTTCGGGGTCCCTCTCGGTTTTGGGGTGTCCCAGGCTCTACAGTGGCCGGGCCAAGGGGCGCCAGTTCGGCTCCAAGTGCAGCTCTGGGGACCGGATCGGCTGCGGCGTCGAGAGGGGCTCATTCGGAGCCCCCCCAGCCCAGGTTTTCTTCACCAAGAACGGCCAGAGGGTGAGGGGATCCCCACCCTGCCTCAGAGCACCCTCAAAACTCACTGGGGCACCCCCAAACCTTTCAGGACCCCATAAACTGGGGTTCTTCTACCCCTGCCCCAGCTGCTCTTCACAAAGAATGGACAGAGGATGGGGGGGATCTCCAAAGCTTCTGAAACCCCAAAGCTTCCAGAGCCCCCCCCCACTTCCTACTTTAGTTTCCCTAAATCCCAGATGGGGGGCCTGGGGGTGTCCCTGAGCCCCCCTCACATCCTGACTCCCTCATTTGCAGGTAGGGGGTCTGGGGGTGCCCCTGTCGCCCCCGGGGCTGTTCCCAGCCGTGGGGCTGCACTCGCTGGGCGAGGAGGTTCGGCTGCACCTGCCCCCCCCCGGGCCCCCCGAGGATGAGGGGGGAGCCATGCTGGTGGACAGCCTGGAGGAGGAGTGGGGGAGGCTCCACGACGTGCGGCTCTACGGCTCCGTGAGCACCCGGGGGGGAAATGGGGGCTGGAGCCTCCCCCAGGACTGGGGATGGCCCAGGGAGGTGGGGAGGGGGCTCAGAATGAGGGTGCAGGGGAGTGGGGTTGGATGAGATTGGACCTCCTTCCTGGGTTGGGAGGTCAGAAATTGAGGTTATGGGGTGAGAAGAATTGGGCTTTGGGAGTTTGGGTGAGGACAGTTTTGGGGATGGGACAAAAAGGGTCCCCAATCCTGGGGAGGGTGAAAAGGGGGGCTGTGACACGGGGCCGGGGTAGGGGGGTCCCAGCAGAAACATCAGGAGTCTGGGGGTTCTTGGGTGCCCCTCAAATCCCTTGTGTGTGCCCCTCCCAACCCTCTATGGCTCCCCCCCTCAGCCCCTGTGATCCCCCAATTCCCCCAGCACCCCTCAAAGCCTCCCAGGTGCTGTTTTTAGGTGGGGAAGGGCATGAATTTCCTGGATCTGGGGCTGGTCCGGGTTGGGGGGTACCCCCTTTGCCCCCTGTCTGAGCCCCCCCGCGCCCCCCCAGGTGTTGGAGTACGTGGGGAAGGGGAAGAGCATCGTAGATGTGGGGCTGGCCCAGGCGCGGCGGCCGCTCAGCCCCCGCAGCCACTACTTCGAGCTGGAGATCCTGGACCCCGGCGAGAAGTGCTACATCGCCCTGGGTGTGGCCAGGAAGGTGCGCGGGGGGCTCGGAATTGGGGTACGGCGGGGCTGAGGGGGGTGGAGACACCTACGGAGCTGGGGGTGGTAGGGAAGTGGGGGGATGTGGGTCAAAAATGGGGGTCTGGGGGTTACAGAGGGAGTAAAGGGGGACTGGAGCCTCCTCTAGGGCTGGGAGTGGCCAAGGAAGGAAGGGAGGGGGCTCAGGTTTGGGGTACGGGGGTGCTGGACCTCTCCCCCAGGCTGGGGCTTGGCTGAAAGGTTGGGGCGGGGTGTCAAAAATGAGGGTTTGGGAGGGAAAATTGGGGTCTATGAGTTGGGGGTCTATGAGTTGACCCCCCCCAACATTGCCATTGCCTTTACCTCCCTCCCTCCCCTGTGCATGCCCTCAGGATTACCCCAAAAATCGTCATCCTGGCTGGAGCAGGGGCTCGGTGGCCTACCATGCAGGTGAGCCCCGCAGAAGTGGGGGGACCCCCAGAATGGCCAGGACCCCCCCCCCTTCCAGAACCCCCCAAACACGGGACCCCAATAGTGGCAACTCCTCCTACTCTTTCTGCCCCTGAAAACCCATTTCCCATTTTTCCTCCCTATTTTGTGTTGCACCCCTATAATGAGGGTCTGGGGGTCTTCCCCATGACCTTGGGGGTCCCCCCTAATTTGGAGGGTGCCCATGGCTCCTCCTTTCTCCCTTCCTCCATCTTTTTCCTATTCATCCTCTTCCGTTTCCAACCCAGTATCCTCCCTTTTTTTGGGGTGCACTTCTGTGGGGAGGTCTGAGGGGTGGTTTTCTATTCCTTGGGGCGGAGGGGGCCCTATGGCCTCTTCCTCCCCCTTTTCGACCCTTTTAGCTCCTTTCTCCCCCTTTTCCCTTTCACCTCCTTCACTCTCTTTTTCCTTCCTTTCCTTCCTTTCCTTCCTTCGGGCCTATTTCTCTTCTATTTTTGGGATGCAGCCCCATGGGAGGGCTCCTCCTCATGGTGGGATTTGGGGATCCCTCTATGCACCCCCATCCCCAGCTGTCCCCTTCTCCCTTTCCTTTCCTCCTCCTCCTCCCCTTTCTCTGCCCATTTCTCCCCCTTTCTTTGGGGTGCACCCCCATGGAAGGTATCTTGGGGTTTCCTCCACAAACTGGGGGGGGTCCCCCTAATTCGAGGTCTCCCCCCCAGACGACGGAAAGCTGTTCCATGGCAGCGGGGTCGGGGATCCCTTCGGCCCCCGCTGCTACAAGGGTGACGTGATGGGCTGTGGGATCATGTTCCCTCGGGACTACGGCCGGGACAGCGAAGGTACCGCGGGGCTGGGGCCCCCCGAGGCCGGGCGGGCTCGGGGCGGGTCCCTCACCCTTTTCCCCGCCCCAGGTGACAGCGATGACGCCTCGGAGCCGCCCGAGGTGAAGGTGAAGGTGCGCAACGTGATGTACCTGGAGGAGGAGGAGGAGGAGGAGGAAGAGGAGGAGGAAGAAGAGGATGGGGAGGACATGGAGCAGGAGCAGGAGGGCAGGAAGGTCGTGGTAAGGGTGGGGACACCCCGCAAAAAAAAAAATCTGTGCCCTAAAAAAGCCCCCAAAAAGCTTCTCCTTCACCCCAAAATTCTCCTTTGTCCATCTTTGGGATCCTTTTGAATCAGTCTGGGGGCTCCAACACCTGGATTTTGGGGGGGTTGGGGTGTCCCGCCCCCCTAATATTTTAGGGTGACCCCTGGTTTGTCTACGATCCCCACACGTATTTGTGCCCCACCCCTGGACCCTCCATCACACCAAAAATCCACCCTGCAGCCCCCTTGGGTTCCCTTGACAGTGACTCACTCTGGGGTCACCCCCTTTGTCCCCACTTCATTGGAGATTGGGGCCTCCCCGCCCCCCCCTCATATTTTGGGGTGACTCTGCTGTGTGTCCCTGAACCCCCCTCCATGTGTTTGTGCCCTCTCACCCCAAAAATCCCCCTATACCCCCCTTTTGGCTCATCTTTCCTTGCCTTACTCCCCCCTTCACCCCTGTTATTTTGGGGGGGTGGGGTCTCCGCTGCCCCCCAGTCTCAGGGTGAACCCCCTGGTTTGTGCCCCCCAGGTGTTCTTCACACGGAACGGGATGGTCGTGGGGCGCAGGGAGGTTGGGGTCCCCCCCGGGGGGCTCTTCCCCACCGTGGGGATGCTCAGCACTGGCGAGAGGGTCAAGGTGGACCTGCACCCCCTGAGTGGATAAGGGGAGGCCCGCGTGGGGCCCCCCCAAAACCTGAAACCTGCGGTGCTCCTGGTGCCCCCCCGGGCCCTCCCAGTGCACTTTAGGGGGTCTCCACGGCAGTGGAGACCCCCACAAGGTGGTTTTTAGGGGGTTCACTCCTGCCCCCACCCCCATAATGTCCCTCTTATGGGGCCTCTTTGAGGGGGGTTCCCCTCATTGAATCCCCCCTCAAAAGTACCCCACCCATGCCCCCCCCCAGATGGTTTTTGGGGAGTCTCAGCCATGGCCCCCCCATTTTTGGGGGACCCATTCCTGCCCCCTCCAATTATTCCAGTGACCCCCCAGGTGGATTTGGGGGTCTCAGTCCTGCCCCTTCCACAATGGGTGACCCTCGTGCCCCCCCTTTGACCCTCCCCAGCCCACCCAACCCCTCCCACTCCATTGACCCCCAGTGCCCCCCAAATCACACTTGCACCCCCTCATCTCTTCCAGCACTCCCCATTCCTGGGGGGGTTCCAGGGGGCAGGATTTGGGGTCCCCCATCATGAATGTAACCAGACCCTTCCAATTCCATGGAACCCCGGAGTCCCCAGCTCTGTGCTGGGGGCTGGGCTGGTTTTGGGGTCCCCTTTGATGTTTGCACATGGCGGGCGGGGGTCCCCATGCCGCCCCCCCCACCAAATAAACCAATTTCTTACACCAAAATAAATGTGGATTTATTGGGGTTCCTCCAGGACCCCCCAAATTGCAAGGGATGTCCCTGTGCCTCCTTTTCTACCAATCTCCACTTCTTCACTTGAGGGTGTTTGGGGTCCTTCAAGGGTGGTTGGAGGGTCTGGAGAGTATTTGGAGGGGTGTCGGGGGGGGGTTTAAGGGGGAGTTTGGGGATCCCCAGTAGGACTTTGGTGCTTAAGATGGTGGGAAGGACAATTATGGGGGTCCCCTTGTGCTCCCTCAAATCGGGGGTGTCTGGGAGGGTTTGGGGGAGCCGGGGGTGGTTTTGGGGGGTTTGGGGGTGTTCAAGACCATGGTGATGAAGGTGATGATGGGGGGGGGGGGGGGGGCTTGGTTATGTGTGTCCCCCTGTCCCCTCCCTTGGCACAGGGGACTCCAGGGTGTTTTGGAGGTCCCAGGGGATTCTGGGGGTCCCTCAGTTTCGTGTCCCCAGCAGGACCTCCGTGAAGAGTGGCGGGGGGAGTCCCGCTGGGTTTGGAGGGTGCCCCCGAGCCCCCCCTGCCCAGGTGGTTTTTGGGGTGCGGGGGCGGTCCCCAGTGTCCCTCAGTGCCGTGTCCCCAGCAGGACTTTGGTAACGAAGGTGACGATGGCCCCTGCTGGCTGCTCCGGGTCCAGCTCCGCGAACACGTGGCACGCGTTGCCCCCCCCCGGGGCCCCCGCCTGCTTCGCCACGAACCCGAAAATCCTGGGGGGGCCGGCGGGGGGGGAGGGGCGAGCCAGAGTTAGAGCTGTGCCCCCTCTCCTTCCCGGGGGTCGAGTTCTGGGGGTCTCCCCGCCTACCTGGCCGTGGTCCCGTCGGGGTTCGCCCACCTGGGGGTGGTTGGAGGGGTTGGGAGGTGTGAGAGGGTTTGGGAGGTTGGGGTTCCCCGCCGTGCCCCCCCCCTGCCCCCGTGCCCCCGCTCACCGGCGCTCCTGCGGGTCGGTGCCGCAGTGGGTGACGCTGCTCACGGGGTAGTGCCGGCGGAAAAAGAGTCTGGGGGGGCACCGGGGGGAGCACGGGGTGAGGGGGGGCGTGGGGGGCAGGGCAGGGTCGGTGGGTGCCGAGGGGTTCCGGGGGAGGCCGGGGTTGGTTTTGGGGGGGATTCGGGGTTTGGGGGATTCGGGGTTTGCAGGGGTTGCTGGTTCAGGACGGGGCTTCGGGGCGTTTGAGGTTTTGGGGTTTGGGGGGCTGGGAGGTTTGGGGGGGTCGGTGTTTGGGGGGGATCTCGGTTTGAAGGGGCCCAGGTGTGGGGGCTGGGAGGTTTGGGGAGGGTCGGGGTTTGGGGTGGGGGGTCAGAGTAATCTAGGTTTGGGCTGGGGGGAATTAGGGGGGTCTGGGTTTGGGATGGGGAGGGTCAGAGGGGTCTGGGTTTGGGGTTGGGGGGGGTTCAGGGGTGCCTCACTTGCGCTGCCGGTCCGTCAGGGTGATCCCCTGCACCGACACCTTGAAGTGCACGGGGCTGGGGGGGGGCCGGGGGGACCCCCCCGCGCTTGGGGCCCCCTCCAGGAGGGACCCCACGGCCTTGGCCACGGCCTGGGGCCCAGTCAGGGCCTCGGTGCCCACCGAGCCCAGGAACAGCACGGAGCAGGCTGGGGGGCAACGGGGAGAGCTGCCCAAACCAGGACCAGCACCCCAAAACCAGGACCAGCCTCCCCAAAATTTGGATAAGCACCCCCAAACCGGACCCAACCTCCCCAAAACCGGGACCAGGCTCCCCAAAACTGGGCCCAACCTCCTCAAAACTCGGACCAAACTCCTCAAAACTGGGACCAGCACCCCAAAACCAGGACCAGCACCCCAAAACCGGGTCCAACCTCCCCAAAACCGGGACCTGCCCCCGCAGTACCCCCTGTCCCAATGCCAACCCCTCATGGTGCCCCAATTCCCGTGCCTGCAGTGCCCCAGTGCCCCTCCCATCCCAGTGCCCCCCACTCCAGTGCCCCCAGTGCCCAGCCCCACCTGCCCCCTGCCTCAGGAGGGCTCCGGCCGTGCTGACATTGGGGGGTCCCGGCGGCTCTGGGGGCTCCTCCTGCAGCTCTGGGGAGGAAGGCTCAGGGTGGGGGGGCGGCCGGGGACATGGAGGGGCTGGGGGAGTTTGGGAGGACTCTGGGGGGATTTTGGGGCTGGAGGAGTCTCTGGGGCGTCCCATCAGCTTTTCGGGGCGGTCTCCACTGTTTGGGGGTGTCCCCGCAATTTTGGGGGCTCCTGCGGTTTTGGGGCTCCCGCGGTTTTGGGGCGTCCCAGCGGATGTTCAGGGGGTCCACGTGGGGGTTTTGGGGTGTCCCCGCGGGTTTTGAGGTGTTCCCTTGTGGGTTTTGGAGGTTTCCCAGGGGAGTTTTGGGAGTTTCCCTGGGGAGCTTTTGGGGGGTTCCCTGGGGTTTTGGGGTGTTTCCGCGGGGTTTTTGGGGCATCCCATGGCTTTGGTTTTCTCCCGGGGGCTTTTGTGTGTCCCGGGAAGGGGTTGGGAAGGTGTACCCGCAGTTGGAGGGGGGGTTCCTGTGGGGGTTTGGGGTGTTCCCGCAGTTTTTGGGGTGCCTACCTGCATGGGGGATGCGGAGGGTGCAGGGCAGTGAGATGGGGGTGATGGAGTGCTGCAGTACCAGCGCTGGCAGGCTCCCTGGGGGGGAAGAGGGGTCAGGGCACCCCAAAACCCCCACGGACTGCCCGAAGCCCCCACAGATTCCCTCGGACCCCAACCCCCCCCCCCCCCACCCCCCCTGAGCCCCCCCCCGAGTTCCCCTTGAGACCCCACTGACCCCCACAGCCCCTACCACCCACCTCCCCATTCCCCCTCCCCCCAGACCCCCCGAGCCCCCCTCACCAAAGTAGGGCTCCTCGGGGCACCCCCGGATTTTGACCCCCCGCGGGCCCGTCTCGATCAGGAAGTGCCGGACCAGCTGCTCCTGGGGGTCCCCTGAGGGACCGGGGGGCGTCAGACGCCAGCGAGACGCTCGAGATCCCCCCCGCCCCTCCAGGGGGTGTCCATGGGGGGGTCCGGGAGGGTTCAGGGGGTGCTGGGGGTGTCCAACCCCCCACGGCCCCCCAGAACTGCGGGGGGGGGGGGGGGTCTCTGGGTAGATTTGGAGATTTGGGGGCTGCTGGTGGGGAATTTGGGGGGATTTTCAGGGGTCCCAGGATGTTGGGGGTGTCAGAGCCCTGGGAGACGCCCGAGACACCCCCCCCCAGTATTCCATAGGGAGGAAGTGGATTTGGGGCATGCAGGGGGGTCTGTGGGGTTCGGGGGGGCTCGGAGTGGTCCATACCCGCTCTGGAGGTGGCGCGGGGGGGGCGGGACCCCCACCCTGAGCGCGAGCCCGAAGGCCCCCGGGAAGCTGCTGCTGCGGCGGACGAGGAACGAGCCGGGAGGGGCCGCCTTGAGCAGCGCCACGGCTGGGGAGACACGGGGGGGTCACGGGGGGGAACCCCACCAACCCCCCTGTTTAACCCTCCAAGCCACCCATAGACCTCACCCATGACTCCGCCCATAGATCCCTCCCGAACTCCCCGGTGCTCCCCACAGACACCCCCAGCACCCACTGACCCCCCCCCCCACTGACCTCCCCTCGCTGACCCCCCCCATGCTCCCCCGATCCCCCTCAAGCCCCCCCAGCCCCTCAATCCCCCCTGAAAACCCACAAGAGCCCCCCCCAAACCCATCCCTTCCATCCGCGTCCCCCCCCCCCCCCCCACCCCGTACCTTCCTCCCGGGACAGCCCCGGTTTGTACCAGAACTTGCTCGTGTCCTGCACGAAGGTGCCCCCGGGGGGGGTCCCGCCCGGCCCCTCCCCCGCTGAGGGGGGTCCCTGGGTCCCCCCTGGGCTGCGCTGGGGTGAGGAGGGGTCCCGGGGCCCCCCCGGGGCCGGGGGGTGCCGCTTCTCGGGCAGGGGCGGCTGCGGGGGCGGGGGGGAGCCGGGGGTGCCGCTGCCGGGGAGGGGGGCGCGGGGGGGGGCCCGGCCAGAGGGTCCCCTCAATGGGGCTCCGCCGTCCTGGGGGGGGCACAAAGAGAGGGGAGACCCCCAAAAAACCCTCTGGGGGGGCCTCCACAGACCTGCCCCCGTGGCTCCATTCCCCCGGCACTCCCCAACTCCCCCGGGTACCCCTTTAATCCCCCCAAATCCCCCCAGCCTCCCTCAGTTTACGCCCTCAGCTCCCCCAAGCCCTCCTCCCCCCCCAGCCCCTCAGTGGTCACGACCCCTCCCCAGAACCCCCCCAGCCCCTTCAGACCCCCCCTCAGTCCCCCCTCGACCCCTCCAGACCTCCCCACGGACCCTTTGACCTCCCACGATCTCCCCAAGACCCCCCCCCCCAACTCCCTTTAATGCCCCATAACCCACCCCAAGCCCTTTTAGATCCCCTCAAACCCCAAACACCCCCCAGCGCCCCCATTTAACCCCTTCGCGCCCCCATCGTTACCTGTCGGCTCCTGGGGCTCCCCCACGGCGGGGGGGTCGTAGCCCCCTTTTCCGGGGGGGGGGTCCCGCTCCGGTCCCAGCCCCGGGCGGCCGCAGTGGGGGCAATTTGGGGGCTCCGGAGGCGGCGCGGCGGGGTCCCCCCCAGCCGTGCCCGCTGTAAATGGGGGCGGGGTGGGGAGCGGGGAGATGCCCCCCCAGCCCTGGCAGTCCTGGCAGGGGCAGAGGGGCGGGAGCCCCCCCAAAAGCAGGTACCCCCCCCGCCACGGGGCGCCCGTAGCTTCCCCACGGGGGGAACCCCTCGGACAGCGAGCGTTGCACCCCCCGTTTTGGGGAGGTCCCGGGAGGAGGCCAGGCTGGCCCGGCGGCACAAGGGGGGGGGCACGGGGGGGCCCAGGTGCTGGGAGGGGCCCAAGGGCTCGGGGGGTGGGGGACACCGGGATGGCTGTGAGCGGCACAGGGGGGGCTCTGGGGTGCTGCGATCCCGTGGGATGCGGGGGGGGCTGTGCAGTGAGGGGGTCCCGTGGGCTCCCGGGGGGCTGAGGGATGCGGGGGGGGCCATGGGACATGGGAGTCCCGTGGGGGGCTGGGAGTCCCTCGGATACCGGGGTGATGTGGGAGATGGGGAGCCCGGGGGATGCCGGGGTGCCGTGGGGTTTTGGGGGGCTGTAGGATGTCGGGGGGCTGTGGGGGGCTGGGCTCTCCTGGGATGTTGGGGTCCCATAGGGTGTCAGGGGTCTCGTGATCAGTGGGGTCCCGTGGGCTATTGGGGGGCTGTAGGACACCGGGGGACTTCTGGGCTGGGGGGGGGTTCTGGGGAGTGTGGGGGCCCTGGGGTGTTGGGGATCCATGAGATGGGGGGGTCCCCGTAGGATTTTGGGGTCCCATAGGGTGAAGGGGACCCCTGAGATGTTGGGGTGCCATATGGAGTCGGTGGTGTCCAGGGATGTGGGGGTCCCGTGGGACGCTGGGGGGGCTGTAGGGCAGCAGCGAGCCCTGGAATGTGAAGGTACCCTGGGATCCCAAGGTGCTGTTGGGCAACAGGGTGTCCTGGAAAGTGGGGTCCCGTGGAATGTTGGGGACCCCCGGCATATTGGGGTCCTGTGGGATATTGGGGTGCCATAAGACACGGGGACCCCGTGGGATATTGGGGTCTCGGGGATGCTGGGGGGCTATGAGGTGCCAGGATCCCGAAGGAAGTTGGGGACCCCTGGGGGTGCTGGGGGGCCATGGGGTGTCAGGGTCCTGTAGGGCTTTGAGGGGTCATAGGGTTGTGGGGACCCCTGGGGTTTGGGGGCCCCACAGGATGTGGGGAAGCCGTGGGGTGTCAGGGTCCCAGGGCTGCTGTGGGGAGCAGGGGTCCCATGGAATGGGGGGGGGTCCCGTGGGATAGGGGGGGTCTTATGGGATATTGGGGTCCCATAGGACAGCGGGTGTCCCGTGGGATGGCGGTGTCCCGTGGGATGGGGGAGTCTCATGGAAGGGGGGGGCTCCCGTGGGATATCGGGGTCCTGTAGGGTAACGGATTCCGGTAGGGCGCTGGGCTCCCAAGTGCTTCGGGGCTCCCATAGGCTGTGGGGGTCCCAAGCGCTTCGGGGGTGTCGGGGGGCTCCTCCCCCGGGCCGGGGCTCTCGCGGCCCCCCCTAACCCCGAACCCCCCCAGCAGCTGCTCCAGCTCCCCGGCGCTCGGCGGCCGTGGGGGGGGCCGCGGGGGGCTCCGGGGGGGGGCGGGGAGTCAGAGTCCCCCCCGTGGGAGGAGGGACCCCCCTTCTTCTGCACGCGGGCGTAGGGGCTGCCATCCAGGGGACCCCCAGGTGTGGGAGGGCTCTGGGCAGAAGAAGGGCGGTCAAACCCCCCCTCCACCCGGACCCCCAAACCCCCACGGGACCCTCCGTGTTCTCCTGCACCCCTTCAGGCCATGGGGAACACCCCCCCGTACACCCACGTTGCCCCCCAGAGCCCCACGGGCACCCCCAGTACCCACTGGCATTTTCTCCAGGCCTTCAACTCCCCCGTTGAAGGGGGGACCCCCTGGCCTCCCCCAAAGCCCCCCGTGCACCCCCAAAGTCCCCTCGGCCCCCCAAACCCTCCTATGCACCCACCCCTGCCGCCCCAGGACAGCCCAGCACCCTCCAGCACCCTCAGACCCCCCTGCACCCCCCCAAAACCCCAGTCACAGGGTCCCTCCTCCCGTACCCCATCTCCTGCCCGGACCCCGCACTCACCCTCGGGGCTGTCCCAGGGCTCCTCAAAGGAGTCGCGCCGCACTGCGGGGTCCTGCACCCCATAATCAATAGGGGTGGTGGGGGGGCCGCGGGGGGCGACCCAGCCTGGGGAGGGCCAGCAGGCGTGAGAGGTCAGGGGGGAACAGTGGGGGAACCCCTGCTTCTCTCTGCCCCCCAAAACCCCGAAACCCACCTTCGACCCTCTCGGGGCCTGAGGAGAAGATGAACTCGACGGTGGCGTCGGGGGGGAAGCGCTGGTCTGGGGGGATCAGCAGGAGCGTTTGGCAGGGTGGAGGAGGGGGGGGGGTCCTCATAACCTGCACCCCCGGTGGTGCCATTCCCAGCCCCTCACCCCCCAACCTGCACACCCCAATTCCCCAGCAACCGCCCTGCTTGCTTTCGTCGGGGGGGGGCATGGGGGAACTGGGGGCGTTCCTGTTATTTGTGACCCCAAATCCACCCCATGCAACCCTCCAGATAAATTCTGAGTCACCCTAACATTAACCAATAACCCTAACACTAAACCCTAACACTAACCGAACCTTAACCCTAACCCTAAAACAACCTTTACCCAAACCCTAATCCTAACCAAAGACTAAACCCTAAACACTAACCCCAACCCAAAACCTAATGTTAAACCCTAAGCCTAAACCTAACCGTAAGCCTAACCCTAACGCTAAACCCTAAGCCTAACCCAAACTCTAACCCTAACCCAAACCCAAACACTAAACCTCAACCCCAACCCCAAGCACCCCCAGCCCCCCTGAGCACCCCAAACCCCCCCTGTGCTCCCGCGCCCCCCCAGCCCCGCACCGCCCCGGCTCTCCCGGCCCCGTGCCCCCCCCCGTGCCCCCACCTTGCCAGGCCAGGTCCAGCTCGTCCCGGCGCAGCCTCAGGCGGGGCCCGCGCAGGGTCCCCGTGTGGAACTGAACCCCAAAAATCGCCTCGCGCCCCCCCCGCCGCCGGTGGTAACAGCGCACCTGGGGGGGAGGGGCACAGGTGGGCGGGGGCCTCGCACAGGTGGGCGGGGGTCACACACAGAGGGCGGGGGTCCCCCCTCCCCGCGGCTCCCCCTCACCATCACGTCCCCCTTGAGCAGCAGCGCCGGTTCCAGGGTGACACAGAGAGACTGCGAGGCGGGGGGGCTGCGGGGAAAGGGGGGGTCAGGGTGTGGGGGGGGGCTGCGGGGAAAGGGGGGGCATTGGGGGGCTGCTGAGGAAAAGGGGGGGGTCACGGTTTGGGGGGTCAGGGTTTGGGGGGGCTGCTGGGAAAGGGGGGGTCAGGGTTTGGGGGTCAGGGTTTGGGGGGTGGCTGCGGGGAAAGGGGGGGCATTGGGGGGGCAGGGTTCGGGGGGGCACGTTTGGGGCAATCATTTTGGGGGGGTGTGTCAGGATTGTGGGTACCCTCTGAAACCTCAGCATCCACAGAGCACTGGGGGAAATTGGGGGGAGTCCCTGCACCCCTCAAAGGGGGGGGTCGGGTGTGCAGGTCAGGTTGGGGGGGCGGGGCTGGGAGCTTTGGGGGCGCCCCAGGACCCCAAACAGGCACAGTGGGGGGATGGGAGGGGTGGGGGATGGGCCGGGACGCCCCCAGCAGGCACGGCACGGGGGGGGGGCGAGGTTTGGGAGGCTCCCGGACCCCCCCGAGGTGCAGGGGAGGGTCAGGTTTGGGGGGGGGGTCACTCACTAGACCCCCGAGGTGTAGTCGAGCTGCAGCGATTGGTAGATCTTGAGGAAGGGGCGGCAACCTAGGGGGGGCACAGGGGGATTATTGGCGGCCCTGGGGGTGTGCTGGAGTCCTTCCCCCCACCCCAAACTGACCGTCGGGGGGGTCGTAGGCAGGCAGGGGGGGCAGCAGGACGTGGTGCAGGAACTGGGGAGAGCTGTTCAGGCGGAGCCGCCCCGAGAGCAGCGCCCCCAAAATCCTCCGTGTACCTGGGAGGATGGGGCACAGGTGGAACCCCAAAACCGCCCCAACTCCACACCAAAACCATGCCAAAAATCCCCTCGAAACGAGCCCAAACACCAACTGAAACCACGCCAAAAAATAACCTCAAAACCACCCCCAAAACATCAGCCCCTAAGAATCACCCTAAAACCATCCCAAAAATCACCCTAAACCACACCAGAAGTTACCCCTAGAACACTAAAAGCCGTCCCAAAAGCACCCAAAAGTCACCAGAAGAAACACCCCAAAACACCCCCCAAAACCCCTCAAAACCACCCCAAAAACCATTGCCCCAAATCACCCCCAAAACACCCCAAATCCCACCATGGCCTCCCCCAGCTCCCCCACCTGCGCTGGGAGGGCTGCAGAGGACCCCCCCCCAGTTTCTCCTCGCAGAATCTCCTCATGCTCAGAGCGTTCAGTGCCTGCTCGGGGCTGGGGCAGGAAAAGGGGGTTATAGGTACCCCAAAGACCCCGCGAACCCCCGGGACCCCCAAGACTCCCCCAAACCCCGCAAGATTTCTCCACAGTCCCCAATCCTCCACGGCCCCTTGACCCCCCCAGGACACCCTGCACTCCCCCCCCTCCCGGGACCCCCGCCCTGCCCCCCCAACCCCCCATAAACCCCCACCAGCCCCCATTATCCCCAAAAGCCTCCAAGTCCCCCCTTACCCCCCTCGGTCCCCCCAAAGTCCCCCCGCCCCCCCCCCTCACCTGCCACACACGTCGCTGTAGTGCAGAAACGCCCCCACGACCACCCCGACTGGGGCCTTGCTGCCCTGGGGGACGGGACGGGACAGGGGAGGAGCCTCAGAACCCCGCGGTACCCCCCCAGTACCTCCCAGTACCCCCCCATGGCTCCGAGAGCCCCCCCAAGTGTCTCCCAGAGTCTCCCCAGCACCACCCAGTGCCCCCCACAGCCCCGAGCGCATCCAGGGACCCCCAGTGCCCCCCCAGTGCCCCTCCCTGCCCCCAATGCCCCTCCCCAGTGCCTCCCAGTGCCCCCCCAGTGCCCCTCCCTGCCCCCAATGCCCCCCCCAGTGCCCCCCGCGCCCCTCCCCGTCCCCCAGCCCCCTCCGCGCCCCCTCCCCGCTGTCCGCAGCCCCCCGACCCCACGAGATGCCCCCCCAGCCCCCCCCGGCCCCACCTTGCAGAGCAGCACGGCCACGTTGCGGGGGTGCCCCCCCCAGACACCCCTCGAGCGCTTTGCAGACGGAGCAGAGCAGCTCCAGGGGGGGGGCGAGCAGGTCCGGCCACCCGAAATCCAGCACCTGAGGGGGGGGGCTCAGAGCCGGCACCCCCAAACACCGCGGGGGACCCCAAAAACCCCCGGGACACCCCAAACACCGCGGGGGACCCCAAAACCCCCGGGACACCCCCGAACCCACCGGGACACCCCAAACACCGCGGGGGACCCGAAACCACCGGGACACCCCCCGAACCCACCGGGACACCCCAAACCCACCGGGAGGCCCCCGAGACCCCAACTCCATCCCCCGAGACCCTCTTCACCCCTCGAGACCCCCGCAACCCCCCAGGAACCCCCACCCATCCCCCCACCCCCTCCTAACCCCGTGGGACCCGGCCCCAGGAACCCCCCAAACCCGCGGGACCCCCGGACCCCCCCTCACTTTGGGGTTCAGGCGCGGGATGGGTCGCGGCACTTCTCGGCCAGGTTGAAGATCTGCGGGGGCACCGCGGGGTCGGGGGGAGTCCGGACCCACCGGGAGCGCCCCAAAACTGCCCTGGAACCCCCAGATCCCAGCCCCCACCACCCCCGGCTCCCCGTGTCCTATCCCACCCCCAGGGCTCCCAGTGCCCCCAGAGCCCTCCAGATGCCCCAGCTGTTGCCCCAGTTGCCTCACTTGCCCCCCCCAGCAGCCCCATTTGCTCCAGTTGCCCCAGTTGTTGCCCCCCCCCAGCAGCCCCAGCTGCCACCCAGCAGCCCCAGCTGCCCCCCAGCAGCCCCAGTACCCCCCTGACAGTCCCAGCTGCCCCCAAGCAATCCCCAGTTACCCCCCCCAGCAGCCCCAGTTACCCCCCAGCTGCCCCCCAGCAGCCCCAGCTGCCCTGTAGGTGCCCCCCAGGCTCACGGTGTAGTTGGGGCCGTGCCGCGCCCCCAGCAGCCGCGCCAGGTGCCGCAGGTGCGCCCCGGGCCCCCCCTCGCCCCCCGGCAGGGCCACGCTCAGGATCCGCTCGGTGACGAACGCCAGGTCCAGCGGGGGCAGGGGCGCGGCCTCGGGGCTGGGGGCTCGGGGGGTCCTGGGGGGAGGCAGCGGCTCAGGACGGGGGGGGCACCCCCAGAACCCCCAACGCGCCGGGGGGAACCTCACCCTCAGCGCCCTAAATCCCGCCCAGCACCCCAACCCTCCCCGCGACCCCCCAGGGCCCCAAAACCTCTTGGAATCTCCCCCAGATTCCCCCAGACCCGCCCAGCACCCCAAAACCTCTTGGAATCTCCCCCAGATTCCCCCAGACTCCCCCCAGTACACCCCAAAACCTCTTGGGATCTCCCCCAGATTCCCCCAGACTCCCCCCAGTACACCCCAAAACCTCTTGGGATCTCCCCCAGATTCCCCCAGACTCCTCCCAGTACACCCCAAAACCTCTTGGGATCTCCCCCAGATTCCCCCAGACCCGCCCAGCACCCCAAAACCTCTTGGGATCGCCCCAAATTCCCCCAGACCCCCCAGCACCCCCAAAACCCTGTACCTGGGCAGGGTGCTCCGCTGGGGGGCGCTGTCGAGCGAGGAGCCCTGGAGGGTCCCGGGGGAGCCCCAAAAACGAGGGGGGGCAAAAGGGGCTCAGGGGGGGTCCCAAAGCACGGGGGGAGTTAAGGGCTGTCCCCAAACACGGGGGTGGGGAAGGGGGGGCAAAGGAGGGGGTCAGGGGGGGTCCCCAAAATAGAGAGGGGTGGAGGGAATCAAGGGAGGGTCGGGGGGACCTGGGGTGTCCCCATAACACGAGGAGGGGCAGGGAGGTCCCCAAAACATGAGGGGGGTCCGGAGGGGTCGGGAGGGGTCATGGATGGGTAAGGGGGGGCCAAGGGGGGTGTCAGAGGGGTCCCCAAAACACCGCAGGGTCACGGGGATGTCAGGGGTGGGAGGGTCGGGGGTCCCCAACTCCTGGGGAGGGTCAGGGGGTTTTGGGAGTCCCAGGGGGGATATTGGGGGGTTCCCGGGAGGGGGACTGGGGATACAGGGAGGGGTTAGGGGTCACGAGGGGCTCAGCGAGTCCAGGAGGTTTTGGGGTTCCGGGGGTCTCGGGGCTCTCACCACGCGCTCGCTGCGCCGCACCGGGGCCGTGTTCCGCCTCTGCAGGGACACAGCGGGGTCTGGGGGGGCCCGAGCACCGGGGAGGGGGCAGCGTCCGGCCCGGGGGGTCCCGAGGGGGATTTGGGGGGCTTAGGGTTCAGCGGGAATATCGGGGGTGCCCGGTCCTGACATGGGCGTTTGGGGTTCCCGAGGTGCGGGGTCCCGTCTCCTGCTCGGGGGGGCTTGGGGTGGTTTCACCCCTTCCGTGGGGTCCCTGATCCTGCCTGGGGAGTTTGGGGGTCCCGAGGGGAGTTCGGGGGGGCCTGCCCGGGGATGCTTCGGGAGTTCGGGTCGTGTCCGAGGGGTCTGGGGGTCTCGAGGGGGATTTGGGGGGGTCTCGGGTCCTGCCCGGCGGCTTCGGGGACGTCGCGCCCCCCCCCCCCCACTCACCAGCTCAGGCGGGGGCAGAGGTTGGCACGGAGCCGTCACCTGGAGGAGGATACGGGGATCATCCCAAATGGGACCCCAGCCCCAAAAGGGCCCCCCCCCGCCCATGAGTGACGCCCCCCCGTCCTACCTTGCTCTCACATCTCTTGTGGGCGGCGACTTTGCAAACTGTGGGGGGACAACGGCGACATCAGGGACCCCCAGGGCCCCCAGTACCCCCCCCTTCCCCACCCTCCCCTGCCCCAGCAACCTCCCAGTATCCCCAGTAACCGCCCACTGCCTCCAGTGAACTCCCCAGTGCCCCCAGTAACCACCCAAGGAACCCCCCATTGCTCCTATTAACTGCCCAGTGCCCTCCCAGTGCTCCCAGTAACTGCCCAGTGCCCTCCCAGTGCCCCCCCAGTGCTCCAGTAACTGCCCAGTGCCCCCCCAGTGCTCCCAGTAACTGCCCAGTGCCCTCCCAGTGCCCTCCCAGTGCCCCCAGGAGCTGCCCAGTACCTCCACTGGCCCCAGTAACCCCCCACCATCCCATCCAGCCCCCCCGGTGTGACCCAGGGGTGTCCCAGGGGTGTCCCGGGGGTGTCACCTCTGCACACGAGCCCGTGGGGTCCCAGGGGGGTCCCGCAGCCCCCGCAGGGCGCCCCCCGGCGCAGGCTCCGCTCGCGGAACGCGTGGGGGGCGGCTGGGGACGGCCTCGGCTGGGGGGACACGGCGGGGTCACCGCTTGTCCCCCGCGTCCTCCCCGTGCCACTGCCACGACCTCTCGCGTCACTTCTGTGTCACCCTCACCACCCTCCCGGATCCCATTTTTGTCCCCCCATGTCTCCCCCGATGTCGCCTCTCGTGTCCCCCCATGTCCTCCCCGATGTCACCTCTCGTGTCCCCTCCTTGTCCTCCCCCCTTGTCACCCTCTGTGTCTCTTTCGTGAACCCCCCCGTGTCCTCCCCGGGTCCCCTCGGTGACCCCCCCGTGTACGGCCCCCAGTCCCACCCAGTTCCCACCGTGTCACTCTGTGTCCCCTCGTGTCGCCCCCCAGCATAGCCCCCGTCCTCCTCTGACCCCTCACGCGTCCCCCAGGTGTCACCCCCGTGTCCCCTCGGTGTCACCCGTGTCCCTCCTTCTGTCCCCCATGTTCCCTCCATGACTTCCCACTGACCACTCCGCGTCTCCTCCGTGTCACCCGTGTCCCCTCCATGGCGCCACACGTGTCCCCGCATGTGTCCCCACCAGGTCCCCCTCTTGTCACCCCCAATATTCCCCCGTGCCCCCCCCGTCCTCCCCTGTGTCCTCTCTCGGATCCCGCTCCTGTCCCCCCCACATCGTCCCTGTGCCACCTCCGTGTCTCCCATGTCCCTTCCGTGAGCCCCTCGTGTCCCACATGTCACTCCCCGCGCCACCCCCGTGTCCCCGCGTCCCCCCCGCTTGCCCCTCCCGGAATTCCCGGTCCCTCCCCCGGCAGCCCCGCTCTCTCTCGTGTCCCCCCGGGTCCCTCCCATGTCGCTCATGTCCCACCCGTGTCCGCCAGGGTCCTCTCGCCTTCCTCCCCGTGTCCCCCCCCCGGTGTCGTCCCGCGTGTCCCCCCCGTGTCCTCCCCGGCCCCTCTGGCCTCGGGCCACGGACAGCGCGTCCCGCAGGAAGCGGGGCCGGACCAGCCCAGGAAACGGCGACCCCTGGGACGACCCCGCCGTTCCCACGGAGGGGGAGGGGCGTCGGAGCGTGAGCGGGGGGAGGGGGCAGCGGGGGGGGCGTGGGCGGGGAGGGAGGGGCGTGGGAAAAACGGGAAAAAGTGGGAAAATGGGGGAAAATGGGGGAAAAGGGAAAGTGGAAGCGAGGGGTGAGCGTGGGAAAATATGGGGAGGGGCGGCAGGGGGAGGGGGAGGGTCAGACTCAACTTTGCCCCCCCCGCCCTCCGAGGTCACCCAGCGTCACGCGTGGGGAGGGGGCGGCTGGAGCGGGAACCCCGCGGGGGCGCCACGGGGGGGGTCCCCCCGCTTCTCCCCACGCCCCCAGCCCCCCCCTTCCCCGCCGAGGGGGTCCCCACCCCGCGGGACCCCCCCCCCACGGGGACCTCCCCCCGCTCCTACCGTGTCGGGGCCATCGCGGCGGCCGAGCGCGCGCAGCAGCGTCCCCACAGCCCCGGGGGGCTTCATGGGGGGGCTCCGCGGGGACTTCGGGGGGTGCCAGGCGCTCCCGGGGGGCTCTCGGGGCTCCCCGCGGGTCCCGCGAGCGGCTCCGTGGCCGAAGGCGCGCGGGGAGGGGCCGTTTCCGCGAGCCCGGAGCCGCTTCCCGTGCCGGGGGGGGACAGGGACACGGGGGGGACACGGGGGGGACGACACGGGAACGACACGTGTGGCCACGGGGAGGGGACACCGGGAGGGACATACGGGAGCCAAGGAGGAGACACGGGAGACACACAGAGGAGACACACGGGGGGACACGGGGGGGACACGGGGACGGGACACCGGGAGGATCACAGGGGACACAAGGGGAGGGACACAGGGGGGACACACGGGGGTGACACCTCCCTCTGCTGACGGTTCCTCAGTTTCCCCCTTTCTCACTTCCAGGATCCCCCAAATTTCCTCCCGAGCCCCCCCCGGCACCTTCCTGGCGCTGCCCCCGCCCTCTCCTCTTCATCCTCCTCCTCCTCCTCCTACCGTCCTCCCCGTTAACCCGCTCCCGCGGGCCCCCGGGACCCCCAAACTCGGGGGGTAAGGGGGGGCTAGACCCACCCCATGGGGACCCCCAAAGTCAAGGAGAAAGGGGAGGCTGAGACCCCCCCACGGAACCCCCAGATTAGGTGGGAAAGGGGATCCTCAGCACACGGGACTCCCAAACTCCGGCCGGGGGATGTTGGTTCAGAGGGGCTCAAGGGACCCCACGGAGTCTCGGGATGGGCTCCCCAGGGGCTGCAGGGACCCCAAACCCCTCCCTTGCGAGGCCCCTGCGGGGGGAGCTCGTTTCAAGGGGAGGAATTGGTGTACAGGGGTTTTGGGGGCCGTTGGGGTGGGGGTTATTGAAGGGAGAGAGGAAATAGGGTGCAAAGAGGGTTTTGGGGTGCAGGGCCGGTTTCGGGTGCGGGTTATTGTGCAGGGGGCGTTGGGGTGCAGGGAGGGGATTGGGGTTCAGGAGGGGAATTGGGGAGGGGCTTTTGGGGGTGCAAGAAGAGGATTTGGGTTTGAGGTTTTCGAGGTGCAGACGGGATTGAGGGGCCCGATCAGGTCCCTGCCCGGCTGGGGTTGGCAGGATCCCATTCTCCCGGCCCCTGGGGTCCTCCCCCCGCCCCCGTCCCGGCCAGGACAGACCCCCCTTTGTGGGGCCGGAGCCGCCGCGGGGGGGGGCCGCATTCCAGCGGTGGGGAGGCGGCTCCAGCATTCCAGCGGTTGGGAAGAGCCGGGAAAGAGGAAGGGTGGGGGGGGGGGGGGGGGGGGGGCGGCATCCCGGGGCTCGGTGCTGGGCCCGTGCCCCCAGTTAATTACCGTTAATTAACGGGGGCGGAGGAGGAATGGAAGGACGCAGAGAAGGAAGGATCAGGATGAAGGTGAAGGAGTAAAAATGAAAAAGGAGGAGGAAGAGGATGAAGAATCAGGGATGAGGAGGAAGAAGATGGAAGGAGGAGAAAAGTGAAGGATGAAGAAGGAAAAAGAAGGAAAGAGGAAGAGGAGGAAGAAAATGAGGTGGAAAGAGGAAGTTGAAGGGGAAACGGGAGATGGAATGATGGAGAGGAGGAATAAATAAGGAAGTGGAAGAGGAAAGGGGGGAAGAGCTAGAGAGGACGGAAGGAAGGAGGAGGATGAAGGAGGAGGAAAGGCAGGAAGAAAGAAGGAATGAAGAAGGATGAGGAAGGAGGAGGAAAGATGGAATGAGGGAAGAGAAGGATGCAAGAAGGAAAAAGGAAGCCCAGAGAAAGGAAGACCAATGTCAGGACAGGAAATTCCCCCTGGGGGGCTTTGGGAATTGCCCCGCTCCCCTCCAAGGTGGGGAGGAGAAGGGCAGAAGGATTTGGGGCCTTTCTGATCTTTTTCAGCTCATTTTATTGGAGAAGACAAACAGCCCCCAGCCTGGGGGAGAACCCCAAAACTCCCCCAGGACCTCCCAAAACCTCTGGGAAGGTTCTTTTTACACATTTTTACAGCCCACCCCAAATCCCAAAATCTCAGAGTATCTTGAGGTTCTGGGGTGGAAATCCAGGTTTTCCTGTGTAAAGGGCAGGGTTTGCATCCCAAAAATTGGGTGGGGGAATTGGGGGGCACCTGTGAGCAGGAGGATGATGAAGGTGTCGAGGGGGAAATCAACATTCCAGAGGTGAGGAAAATGGGAGGCAGAGGGAGATCCCAGGAGGGGGGATTGGGGGGCTGGATCCCTCCCAATCCCTGTTTTGGAGGGGCTCCAGTGAGGAGGGGGTGGGAGGAAGGCCAGCTCTTCCTCACCCCTTATTCCATGGAAAACACAGAGAGGGGGGCTTTTCTTTCGAGAAAACCCTTGGAATTACCCCTCCCGCCCCCTGTGCTGATTTTGGGGTGATTCCCGTTCATTCATGGTGGGTTTTTTTCGGGATTTAAGAAGCTGAGGGAATTGATGAGTTTTAGGCTTTATTTCCGTCTCGCCTGGATCAAGGTTGGGATTTTTGGGAATCTCCGGAGGTTCCCACGGCAGCTGAGGAGGAGGAGGGGGAGGAAGCTTTTACTCAGCTCCTTCTTCATCATCACCTTCATCCTCCCCATCCATGGAGAGCGCGGCATATTTGCTGGCATGGCTGAACTGCAGGAAAAACCAGGAAAAATTCCCAAAAATGGGATTTGAGAGGAATAAAGATCCCCAGGGACTCACACATCCCAAAACCAGGGGGTCACAGCCTCCCAAAAGGGGCCAGAGAAATCCAAAACTGCTGGGGTGGTTGAGCTGGGAGGGCCAGAGGGGTCATTGGTGAAAAAAAAAATCCCCAAGCCCGCAAAAAAACAAGATTTGAATGGGGTGAAGACCCCCAGGGGGTCATGCACCCCAAAAAGGGGAGTTCACAGCCTCCTCCAAAGGGGTTTCAGACTGCCCAAGGCTGAACTGTGGGGGTGGGCAGAGGGAGGGGGACAGTAAAGCAGAAAATTCCCAAAATACCCCAAAAAATGAGATTTGAGAGGTCGAAGTCCCCTGGGGGTTCAGTCACCTCCAAGAGGGGTCACAGCCCCTGCTGGTAACTGGAGGCATGGGGCATCAGTTATGGTGAAATTCCCCAAAACCCCCCAAACCCAGGATTTGAGGGGGGTCCCTCCCCTTCTCTGGGTCCCCCTGGATCCTTACAGAGGGGGGGTTCTCCTCCAGTTTCTTTGGCTCGTGCTCCTTCCGGGGGTCCCTCCTGAGGAGCAGAGGTCAGAGGTCAATTCCCAGGAAATTCCATGTGCCTGGGGGGGTTTCCCGGTTCCTGAGGGGGTTTTGGGGGGGGGGGGGGCGTGTCTCACCTTTCAGGGTCCCCCATTCCTGCGGGGCCACGGCTGCAGCTCCGGCCCTTGGAGCTGCTCTCCCGACCCCCTTCAGGCTTCAGTTCCTCTGTTGGGAAAGGGTGGGGGGGTCACAGCCCCCAGAATCCCCTGAGCTCCCCAAGCCCTCCTGAGCCTCCCAGCAAGGCCTCAACATCCCTGGAACCCCCCAACCCCCTTTAAAACCCCCCACAAAATGCCTCAACCCTCCCAGATCCCCTGATACCAACCTCCCCCCGAGCCCCCTGCCACGCCCCCCTGAGCTCCCCTAAAATCCCCCAAAGCCCCCCTAAACACCTTCTGAGCCCCCCAAGTGCTCCCAAGACTTCCCCAAATCCCCAAAACCCATCCCAAGCCTTCCCAATCCCCTCCTCCCATTCTCACCTCTCCTCTGGGTGGTCCTGGGGGGGCCCGCATCATCTCCAGGGGGGGTGGGGCCAGAGGGGCCCCCACTGGGGAGACAGAAAAGGGGGGAGGGGCATCAGGGGGGGTCCCTGGAATGGCCCCAATCAAGGGACATGGGGGAATGGGGCATGGGAATGTTGGGATAGGGCCTGGGAATGCTGGGGTGGAGGACAGGAGTATTAGAATGGTCTGTCCACAGGGAATTCCTGGGAATGTTGGGATGGGGCACAGGAACATCCCTGAGCCACAGGAAAGTTGGGATTGGGCACAAGAATGCTGGGATGGAACCCAGGAAGGTTGGGACGAGCAGAAGAGTCTCCAGGGGCTGCAGGAATGTTGGGATGTGCCACAGAACATGGGGATGGGGCTCAGTAATATTGGGATGTGTGGCAGAAGCATCCCCAGGCCACAGGAATGTTGGGATGTGCCAGTGACTCCATGGAGTGGGCCACAGGAACACTGGGATGGTGCACAGGAACATGTCTGTGATAAAGGGGTGTTGGGATGGGCTTTAGAAAGGTTGGGATAGGCAACAGAAATGTTGAGATGCACTACAGGATCATCCCTGGGAATGTCAGGGTCCCCTACTCCTGGCCCTTGGGGTCCTCCACTAGGGAAAAGCAGGGACCCATGGAATGATTAGGGCTGGAAAAGCACCCCCCAGGCCACTCCTTCCTGGGACACTCACCTGGTTGGGGAGGCTTGCTCCGAGTCAGAGCTCTGGGAATTGCCGGGGGGGTTCTGGCTGCTCCGCTTCATCCAGGCGTTTTCCTTGGGAGGCGGTGCCGGCATCACCTTTGGCTTCTCCTCCCGGGATTTGGGGGGCGGTGAGGGTGGCTCCTCCTCTTTTCCTAGGGGCTCATTTTCCAGGGATTTCTCGCTCTCCCTCCTCCGTGTGGCTGGGGGGACACAAACCCGTGTGGCAGCTGCTGGCCGCCCCGGGCTGGGACGCTGCGGCTGCCCCGGACCCCGACTCACTCCGGCCGGTGGGGCCAGAGCCCGCGGACGTTCCCGGGGGTCCCGCGGGGCCGCTCTGGGAGGATTCGCTGCCTGTCCGGGATCGCTCCTGGTTCTCCTCGCTTCGCCAGCTTGGATGCCTGGGATAGGGTGGAAATAGGATCAGGGGACTGGGAAAGGGCTGCCCCATCCCACCTTTCCCATAGGATGAATGCCATCCCACCCGAACCACTCCCAAGGATCACTGCCACCCATCCCGCTTTTCCCTGGGGACCATTCCCTGCCCCTCCCATCCCTCTGTGGGGATCAGCCCCAATCTCCTGAGGGATCATTTCCATTCCATCCCACCCCTCCGTGGGGATTATTCCATGCCCATCCCTCGCTTTGCCACTGGATCATTCCTAGCCAATACCCCCTTTCCCAAGAGACCATTCCATATCCCCTCACCTTTTGGGTGACAAATCATTCTTTGTCCATCCCATCACTACTAAGTGATCGTTCCTTACCCATCCCATGTTTCCCAAAAGACCACTCCCAGCCCTTCCCACCTTTCCCAAGTGACCATCCCCATCCCATTCCCTCTTTCCCAAGGCAGCATTCCCACCTTTCCCGGGGCCGTCTGTCGATCCTCTTGTCGTCCTCCAGCTGCCGCTGGAGTTTTTCCTGCTCCTTCTGGAGCCGTTCCTCCACCTCCCGCTCCCGAGCCGCTGTATCCACAGGCTTGGCCCCCCCGAAGATGGAAGCAGCCCGGCTGGACTGGGCAGCGGGAGCTGCTGAAGTTTCCTCTTCCTTGGGAGCACTCCGGGGCTTCAGGTTGAGCTTCGGTCTCTGGGTGGGACCTGGGAACGAGCCAGGAGATCCAGGTGGGCATTGATCCCACCTGCAACAGTGCTGAGACTGACAGCATAATCCCTGTCCCATCCCGCCATTCCCAAGGAATCATCCCCTTCCCCAGCCCACCCTTCCCAAGGGATCATTCCCATTCTCTTTCACTTTTTCATGGGAACATTTCCATCCTAATCCACCTTTCCTGAGGAACCATTCTGTGTCCTTCCCACCTTTCCATGGGGATCATTCCTGTACCATCCTGCCTTTCTCAAGAGACCCTTCTTCCCCCATCCCTTCTTTCCCAAGGGATCATTCCCATCATATCCCACCATTCCCAAGGGACCACTCCCTATTGCTCCCACCTTTTCCACGGAATCATTCCCATCATATCCCACCATTCCCAAAGGAACGGCCCTAGTCCCACCCCACCTCTGTCCTCACGGCGGAAGTCATCCCGGCCGTAATCATCCCGGGAATTCCACCGATCCATCCGGTCATCCCGCCGGTCATAACGATCCTCATAGCCACGGTAGTCATCGTCCCGGCGGTACCCGCTTCCAAAGGCTCTCCGGCCGCTGCCTATTCGGGAATCGTAGCCTGGGGAAGGAGACGGATCATCTGAGAGTCACTAGGGATAACGCAGCCCAGATTCCCAGTGACAACAGTTTGGGAATTTGGGGGATTTCCAGTTACTCGCTGGCCATGGGGGGGGGGGTCTCGCTCCCACTCTCTCTGCCCATGAAAACCCTTGGGAATTCCCACCTCGGTCGTAATCCCTGCTGCGGTCGTCGTAGCGATCCCGGCTCCCAAAACCACGATCCATGTCCCGCCGTGGCCCGTCCCGATACCGGTCGTCATAGCGATCACGATATCCTGGAAGCAGGATGGGGTTTTACTGGGATAGGCACAGATTCCACGAGGAAGGAGGAAAATCCCAGTGCTCCATGTGGGAAAGGAGGAGGCCCCATTCATCCTTACAAACTGGGAATGAGCTCAGGTAGGAATGAAGAGTTTTGGGAATGAATGAGCTTGGAGTTGGAATGAGAGCTGAGAACAAATGAGCTCCAAATGGGGAATGAACAAGCTCAGGGTGGGACTGAGCTCCAAATGGAAATGAACAAACTCAGGGTGGCAATGAGCTCAGGTGGTTCCTAATCTCAGGCAGAGCAGTGTCAGCTGCCCCTAGATCTTGGGACAATGCTAGCTGCCAGGACACAGGGGAAGGAGGGAGTGCCTGGAATGCTGGGCCCATTCTCTTCACTCACTGTCCCCGAATCCATCGTCGCTCCGGCGTGGGGGGAAGTCATCGAAGGCATCGGGAGCAGCCGGACGCGCGCGCCAGTCGCTCTCGAACCGCTCTGAGTCCCGGAAGCGATCTCGGTCTCTGCCGAAGCAGCGATCATCCCGGTCTGCTGGCAGCCAGGGACACAGCCAGGGACAAGGGGAGGCAAAAGGAGTGGGAAAGGGAATGAAGATTAAAAGGAAAGGAAGGAAACAGGGCAGGGTCAGGGCTGGGCCCTTGGCCACTCTCCCTGAATCCCTACCCTGCCTGATCCATGTCCTCGGCTGGACACTCACCTTTATCCTGAGCTTGATCTGCCACATCCACTCGTATCCTTCTGTTTCCTAAAGACTGGGAACAACAATGGGAAGTGAGTGCTGGGCTGGGAATTCCCTCCCCATATCCCACCTGACCCTCCCCTCTTCCAGCTGGAAGCCATCTGCCCTTTTCCCACCAACTCCAGGCCCATGTCCAAACCCTTCTCCAGGTCCTTGGAGCCCCTTTAGGCCCTGAGATGTGCTCTTGGAAGCTGGGATTGGACTCACCTCTTCATTGAGGCTCAGGGCCTGGAACAGGGAATCGATATCCTCGAATTCCGCGTATCCGAAACCTTTCAACCTCTCGGGATTGGTGGGTTCCCGTGGGAGCCGCACGGCGCTGATCTGCGAAGGGAGGGAAGGCAGGGAAGCTCACCTCAGGATCTTGGCTTCCAAAAGGGGAATGCGGAAGGGTGGCAGGATCTGGGATGGAGCAACTCATGGATATCGAGGGATTGAGGGGGCTCCTCGTGCACGAGGAGGAAGACAGGGGTCCCACCCTAAACACTGCAGAACGTTCCAACATCTTTGGATTGAGGGACTGGGAAGAGAATCCCAGCTCTGGCAGCTGCACTGGGAACAATGGGAAGGGCCAGGTATGCTCTGCAGGCTCCTGCCCGGGCTCAGGGAAGCAGGAGCCATCTCAAAGCTCATTCCAGTGGAAAACCAGCCCCGGATGTGTCCAGCACAAGTCCCACGTGGACACAGGGTAGCCCACAACCTCCTTTTCCTAGATTTTGGCTCCCAAAGTGTGGGAGCTCCTTGCTCATTACTGATCGGAGCCCTGAGAAATGTCAGGAGCCACATTCCTAAATGACATCTTAGGGGGTCATGGGGTCCCCAAAGCATCCCTTAGATTTTTCTGGGGTGGATTTCCTGATGGGAAACCTCTTGCAAAGCCAGGATCTTGCTTGGACCAAACACGTCCATGGAATTATATTTAAAGAATGACAAATGCCAAGAAATAGGGAAAAGGAATGAGGAAGGCCAAGGTCAGGTACAGAGCTGGAGAGGGAAAAACAGGACAGGTTCAAATGGGAATAAACTTGGTTTTTCCCAATTTGTGGTTTTCAACACCTCTGTGTGATCCATGAGCTTCCTGATGCTGTTTTCTTTCCACCTGGGAGCAAATGAGCTGCCCTACCCTGCCCCACCCCCCAGTCTAACCTCCACCCGATTCCACAGGGAAACCCCCCCACTGGAGGTTCCTCAATCCCACTGGAAGAGCGGGAATGGCTGATCCATGGCTGGGGAATCAAGGGATTCTCTCAGGATCAAGCTACAGACACCCACATCCCAGGAAAACACCCCATGGCAATGGAATACGGGTGCCCAATAGAGAGAGAGCAGCATTTCTGCCCTCTGGAATGTCACTCACATTAAGTCCTCGGAAGAAATCCTTGATGGACTCTTCCGTGACATCGTAGGGCAGGTTTCCCAGGAATGCCGTGTACGGAGGGGATTTGGGGAGGCGGCTTCTGTCGATGTTGGGCTCGCGGGCAGCGCGCGGGGCCGTGGGAAGGATGGAGCGGTCGATCGGAGGCGCCCGGTAAACGTCGTCGTCATTGCTGTGCCACGTGGTGGAGACTGCAGAGAAACCCGGGATGTGGGCACAGACACACGGCCAGAGCCAGCTGGAGCTGACTGGGGCCAACTGGGGCCATCCTGAGCTGGCCAGGTCAGCTGGAGGCAGCAAATCATCCCACAGCCCACCCAGATGGAGGCAGCTGGAAGCAACCAGAGGCACTGGGAAGAAACCGGAGTCATCCAGAGGCACCCAGAGGCAACTGGTAAATCCACGGAAAAGGTGCCCTGAAGCCATCCAGAGCACCCAAGGCAGGGACAGACAATCCCATGAGTGGCTTTCCAGGATTCATTCCAGCTTGGATTCCAGCCTGGCTCAGTGGGAAGCTCTGGTGAATCCAGTCCCCAAAACCTCAATATCCCACTGCTGCTCCCCCACTTGGCTGGACACTGAGTCCCATCCCTAAGGAAAACTTGCACGGCTCTCCCAGCTTCATTTTTCCCCAAAAACTGAATAGCCAGTGGATTTTTCCAGTTATGGATGCCACTGGCAGCTAGGAATGCCAATCCTGGGGCCTTCCAATCTGGAAGGCAGGAATTACGTTCCAGGACCTGGGAATGACAGTCTGGAAGCTGGGAATGCCAACCTCAGAGCTCAGAATGGTGTCCAGGGATTGAGAATGCTGTTCCAGCTCTGGGAATACTGCTTCTAGGACTGGGAATGCCAATCACAGAGCTGAAAATGCCACTCTGGGGACTAAAAATGCTATCCTGGCTCCAGAAATGCTGCTCTGGGGGCTGGGAATGTAAATCCCAGAGGTGGGAATGTTGTCCTGGCTCCAGGAATGCCATCCTCGTCCTGGCTCTAGGAATGCCATCCTGGCTCTGGGAATGCTGCTCTCGGGGCTGGGAATGTAAATCCCAGAGCTGGGAACGCTGTCTCGGTTCCAGGAATGCCATCCTCATCCTGGTTCCAGGAATGCCATCCTGGCTCCAGGAATACCATTCTCATCCTGGCTCCAAGAATGCCATCCTGGCTCTGGGGGCTGGGAATGCTAACCCCAGAGCTGGGAATGCCATCCTAGCCCTGGGGATGGTGCTCTGGGGGCTGGGAATGCCATCTTGGCTCCAGGAATGCCATCCTGGCTCTGGGGGCTGGGAATGCCAACCCCAGGGCTGGGAATGCCATCCTGGCTCCAGGAATGCCACGCTCACCTTCCAGGTCGTCGGTCTCGTCGGCCCAGCTCACAGGTTTGGGGATGTAGGTGGGGCCCCCCCCGCCCCCCCCATCCTCAGCCAGGAAATCCGTGAGCGTCAGCGTCTTCCCCTTCTTTGGCTTCTTCTTCGCTGCCGCTGCAGGAGTGAGCGGAGATGTGGATCAGAGCGGGAACAGGAGTGGGGATGGGGGGAACTGAACAGGGAAAGGGTGGGAATGAGAGTGGGAATGGCAGGACAGAGAGGGAGTGAGAATGGAAATGGTGGGAATGGGAGTGGGGATGGGCAGGACAGAGAGGGAATGAGAATGGAAATGGTGGGAATGGGAGTGGGGATGGGCAGGACAGAGAGGGAATGAGAATGGAATCAGAGCGGGAATGGGAGCAGAAATGTGTGGGAATGAGAGCTGGGACAGGAGGGAATGAGAGCAGGAATGGGTGGGAATGGGAGGGAAGGAGAGTGGGAATAGGTGGCATGAGAGCAGGGACAGGAACAGGGCGGGGGCAGAGGGACTGGGGACACTGGGGTGGGACACAGGACATTGGAATAATGGGAGTGGGGACAGCAGGGTGGGACATAAGGCACAGGGATGGGATATGGGACACGAGGAGCTGACATGGAACGTGAAGCACCAGGATATAGGACACGAGACAATGGGATGGGACAGAAGACACCAGGGTGGGACACGAGGCCTTGGGATGGAGTACAAGGTGACAGGATGGGACACGGGACATTGGGATGGAATGGGAGGAGCTGGGATGGGACAGGAGCCACTGGGAAGGGACATGAGACAGGACAGCGGGAGCCAGGAGGAAACGGTACAGGAGGACATGGAGCACCAGGATGGGACAGGAGGCCCTGGGATGGGACACAAGGTGACAGACGGGGACATGGGATGATGAGGATGGGATGGGATGGGATGAGCTGGAACAGGACAGAAGCCACTGGGATGGGACATGAGGTGCCAGGAGGGGACATGAGATGGGACACAAGGCACCAGGATGAGATAGGAAGTGCTAGGATGGAACACAGAGCACCAGGATGGGACAGCAGCCACTGGGATGGGACAGGAGGAGTCAAGAGGAGACAGGAGGTGTCAGGATAGGACACAAGGAGTTGAGAGAGGACAGAAGCCACCAAGATGTGACAGCAGTCAGTGGGATGGGACATGAGGCACCAGGATGGGACACAAATGGGACATGAGGTACTGAGATGGGACAGAAGGCACCAGGAGGGGACACAGGATGGGACACAGGCACTTGCATGGAATATAGCACTGAGAGACACGAGGTGCTGGGATGTGCCATGAGGGCATCAGGGTGGGACAGGAGCCACCAGGACGGGACAGAAGGAACCAGGAACGGATGTGGGGCACCAGGATGGAACATGAGGAACTGGGATGGGACAGGAGGCAGCACAGGAGGAGCCAAGAGGGGACAGGAAGTGACAGAATAGAACACAAGATGGGACATGGGATGGGATACGAGGAGCTGGACCTGAGGACCCAGGATAGGGACAGGAGACACAGGGGGTTCCAGACTGGGACAGGGGACACCAGATTGGACAGGAGCCACTGGGAGGGGACATACCAGGGGCCAGGAGCCACCCCCCAGCCCCCTTTATTTGTTATTCCCACTGGAAACATTGTCCCCATCCCACCCCCTGTGGGGACACACCCAGGCACAAGCTGTGACCCTCCTGGAAAACCTGGGTATTTCCTGGAAGGTGGCTTTGGATTTACAATTCCCTCCCTCTGGGAGGAACTGCTGCCCTCATGTGGCTCTGTCGCTGAATCTGGGACCTTTCCTGGCAAAAACTGCTGCATTTGCCAGGAAAAATCCCTCTGGGTGGAGCCAGGGGGGTTGGAGCCCCAGAGAAATGGTGGAGTCACCTCCTTCCCCCATCAGATTTTGGGGAGGTCAATAGTGGTCCCAGGGGGAGCAAAACTGATGGGTTTCAAGGACATGAAAGAGAAAGGCTTGGAAAAATATTCCCCTATTTTTTTTAAGGAGAGATCATGAATTTTTGGATGGGCAGAGCTTCTAGTCAGATATCCCTGACCAGAGATAATAATAATTAATGAATCAACCAAAGGGCTTTAACGAGGATAAAAAGGATGGAGGTCGGATTGCTCATAGAATGGCCTGGAAATGCGTTATTCCATGGAAATCCAGCATGGAGAGAACCACCACCACCGGTGTTTTCCCATGGGAACTGGGAGGGGGTGGTGGTGTGTGAGACCCTCGGGATGGCTCCATCTTCTCCCAGTCCATCCCTTCCCTCTGCACTATGGATTTCAGGGAAGTGTGGGGCCATTCCTGGACTCCTATGGGAATCCCAGCCTGGGATGCAGGAGCGCCAAGGTGCTCAGAGCTGCCCCAGGGTGACCCCACCTCCCGCAGGAAACTAGCCTGGGACACTGCTGGGAATGCGGGAAGCACCTGAGGCCCAGGGAAAGCCGGGACAGGGATGGATCCAGGTGGGGTGGGGGCACCTTCCAACCCCCCCGTGCTCACCCCAGTACCGGGACCCCACCTCCCTCTCCAAGCAGAGACGGGGACCCCGGGAGATGCTGCGGGATCGGGAATGGAGGGGAGAGCCGGGTTGGAACTGGGGGGCGTCTGGTGTGCCCCCCCACGCCGGGACCGACCCCTGAAGAGGCTGGAAGGGGTCACATCCTGCCCCGCCTCCCTCGTAATTGACCCCGAGGAGCCTCAAGGGCACCGCGGGCCCGGGAAGGGGGTCCCGGTGAAGCCCCTGCGGGCAAATGGAGGGGGGGAGCCTGATCCCACCTCTCCCCCCAAACTCCCGGTACCGGGGCCCCTCCGACCCCCCCCGTTCGCGGCCACGTGGGCGCGTCGCCCCCTCCCCCCCTTCCGCGCGCGCGCGCCGGGCCGCGCCCGGCGCGCGCACGTCAATCACTGGCTGGGCGCACGCACGTCAATCACCGGACGGGCGCGCGCGCCCCCGCCAATGGGAGACGGGGGGGGTGTTGGGGGGCCCGGCGCGCGCACGTCAATCACAGGCCGCGCGCGCACCCCCGCCAATGGGAAGCGGCGGGAGGGGGGAGGAAGGGCGCGCGCCCGCCTTGAGGGGACGCGGCGGAGGAGGAAGGGGGGGGGTTCGGTTTTCCCGCCGCTTCCCCCGCTTTTCCCGCCACCGCCTCCCCCCCAGCACCATCTCCGGAAGCGACGGTGCTCGGAGCAGCCCCGGGACCGCCATCGGTGCCGCGATCAGTGCCCGCGGAGCTCCACGCGGGCCGGCGGGGCCCGGGCCCGCGGCGCAGCGCTCACCTGGGGCCGCCATGTTGGGACGAGGCAGAGAAGGCAAAGGACCCGGATGGCGGCGTCACGTGACCACGAGCGTCGCGCCCTGTCAGGGGGCGGGGCGAAGTTCGGGGGCGTGGTCTGGGCCGGGGGCGGGGCCTGGGGCCGGCTGGTTCTGCGGGGGTGGGGCCGGAGGGGGAGGGACCGCCGGGACCCCCGGCACTGACACCCCCGGGCATCGGCCGACACCGACAGCTCCCGGCGCCCCAGGCACCACCGGGGGTGCTCGGAACTCCCGAGCATCGACACCCCGGACACCGAGACGCGCCGACCCCGTCACTCCCCGGAGCCCGGGACACTGGGACCCCTCGGCACTGACACCCCCGGGATTCCCGGTCTCTGGGAGCCCCGACAGCAGGAGCCCCGCATACAGGCTCCCACCCACACCGACAGCCCCAGGCACCGCGATGCCCCGCACACCGACACCCGTGGCAGCGCCCCGAGACCCCCCAGTCCCGGCATCCCCGGGCACGTCACCCTCTGCGCACCAACACCCCCGGTCTGCTGACACCCCGGGGACTCCCGGACACCGCCACCCCCGGCCACTGACACTCCCAGGCATCTGCGCCGGGATCCCCGGGCACCGACGCCCGAGGAACTCCCGACGCCGGGACTCCTCGGCACGAGGATGCCCGCGACCCCCGAGCACCGCACCGGGACCCCTGATCACCGCACCGGGACCCCCGAGCACCGCACCGGGACCCCCGGTCACCGCACCGGGACCCCCGAGCACCGCACCGAGACCCCCGAGCACCGCACCGAGACCCCCGAGTACCGCACCGGGACACCCGAGCACTGCACCGGGACCCTCGGGTACCGCACAGGGATCCCCGCTCCCGTTCCCCCCGTGTCCCCCCGGGAGCGGTTCAAGACAGGACGGCGCCTGGAGCTCGGGGCTGATCCCGGGGCCGGCGGGGACAGGGACGTTTTGGGGTCCTCCCGGCTGGTTCTGGGAGGTTGATGCCCCCAGGGACACCGACATGAGCAGGGGGCAAAAGGGGCGTCCCGGGGGGGCATGGGCGACCGGGGGTCGTTGTCGGGATGGTGACAAGGAGGGGGTACAGGAATCCATCCCTCCCCCGACAGCTCCGCACACCCCGTGCCTCAGTTTCCTCCCGGTCTCAGCCCCATGTCCCCACCCCCGTTTTCCCCCTCCGGAAGGACACACCAACACATCCCATCTCCTATTCATAGGAATCAGCACTTTATTTGGATCTGGGGGGAGCTCGGGGACCCCCCCCGGGTTTTGGGGGCCAGGGATCCCCCGTGACCCCCTCAGTACGTGCGGACCTTCACCTCCCTGGTCTCGGTGATCACGCGCTTGGTGGGCCCTGTCCCTGCCGTGGTGGCCGTGGTCTCCTTGTCCAGGGCATCCCTCAGGCTGTGGGGGGGGTGGTTAGCGGTGGGGGCACCCAGGGGTCCCCTCCCCATGCTGGTAGTGTCCCCCCCTCAGTGTCACCCAACAGGTGACGGAGATGGCATGTCCAGTGGGATGGGCTGGGGTGTCCCAGCAGCCTGGAGATTGTCCCCTCTGGGTGTCACCCTTGTCCCCTGGCTGTTCCCAAGATCTTGTAACTGCTGGGACCCGGACACTGGGACACCTGGGGCTCATCCCCTCTGATGTCACCATTGTCCCCATCCCCAGGCCATCCTGAAGGACAGACCTGGGATACATGATCTCCTGGGATCATCCCCCTGGATGTCACTGCTGTCCCCTGGCTGTCCCCAAAATCTTATAACTGGTGGGACCTGGACACCTCATCACAGGGGTCTCATCTGCCCTGGGTGTCCCCTCCCCATGCCAGGGACGGCACCTGGACACTCAATTCCTGGAATTATCCTTTTCCATCCCCTTCCCAGCCCATACTCCCCCCTCTGTCTCCATTTCCCCCTCACCTCAATTTCTATCCCTCTGAATTTTCCCCCCCCTAAGCCCTTATACCTGAACTCACCCCCCAAACTTCCTCACCTGAGCTCTGTTTGCTCACCTTCCCCCAAAACCTGAATTCCCCCCCTTCACCTGAGCCCCTGTACGTGAACTCCCCTCTGATTTGAACTCCCACCCCCTGTACCTGCCCCCTATACCTCCAAATTCCCCCCTCACCTGAACTTCTAACACCCCGTACCTGGATTCCTTCCCTCTCCACCAAACTCCCCCCCAAACCCTCTCATACCTGAACTTCCCTCTCACCTGAACCCTCCTGAACTCCTCCCCCTCACCTGAACCTCCCCTGACCTGAACTCACGCCCCCGTACCTGAACTTCCCCTCCCACCTGAACTTCCCCCTCGGCGCTATCTAAATTCCTTCCCCCCAGCTGAACCCCCCCGTACCCGCTCCCTTCCCCAGTTCCCCCCCCTCTGTTAACCTGAAGCCGTCGTCGCCCTCCAGCAGCTGCCGATATGTCGCGATCTCCGCCTCGAGTCGGTCCTTGAGGCCGAGCAGCTCCCGGTGCTGCTCGTTCTGCCGCTGGAGCTGCGCCCGCACGTCCCGCAGCTCTGCCTCGGCCGCGCTCACCTGGAGCTGCACCTGCGCCAGGTGAGCCCCGGCCCGCGCCTCGGCCTCGGCCAGCGCCGCCTCCAGACCCGCGTTCTGGGGGAACCCGGGCGATTAGCGGGGTTCGGGGGACTCAGCACCCCGAGTTCATCCCGAGCTTCAGCCTCGGCCAGCGCCGCCTCCAGACCCAAGTTCTGGAGGGATTGGGGGGTTAACGCGGTTTTGGGGGAGTTCACTTTGATCTGAGCCTCAGCCTCGACCATGGCAGCCTCTAAATCTGTGTTATGGGGTGTTCGTGGGGGAATTAGGGGGTTTTGGGGCAGCCAGAACCCCTAAAATGGGGGGATTGGAGGCTCTGCACCAAGAAAATGGGGGGGTGAGTCACCTTGGGCTCAGCCAGTGACTCCAGACCCACATTCAGGGGAATGTAGGGGTTTTGCAGGGGTTCACCCCAAATCCTGGGGGTTTACCCTGAGCATTGGTTGATGCAGACCCCAAACCTGTGTTCTGGGGGGGATCAGGGGAGGATTAGGGCGTCTTATGGGGGTTCACCATGCCCTGAGCCTCAGGCTCAGGCAGTGCCACCTCCAGCCCCGAGTTCTGGGGAATTCAGAGGGTTTGGCGTCGGTGGAGGGGGTCAAGACTTCAAAAATGGCCTTTGTGTGGCTGGAGTTATGGGTTGGGGGTTGGAGGGGTTTTGGGGCTCTGGAGCCATGGATTAAGGGGAGCTAGGTTTTTTGGAGGGGGAGTTGGGAATGTGAGGCTGTGAATTGAGGGATTTGGGGGGCGGGTTGGGGTTTTTTGGGGGAGTTTGGAGAATTTTGGGGTACCTGGTTGCGCAGGGCCTCAAGGTCAATCTCGAGGGTTTGCAGTGAGCGACGCAGGGCCCCAACAGTGCCTCGTGCCACATCCAGGTCCTTCGTGCTCTGCGTCACCTCCAGGGTGGTCTCTGTGATCTGGGAGGGAAAGGAGGGGTCTGGGGGGGCCTGGGGACAACCTTGGGGTCTGGGGGGCAGCAGCCTTGGTGCCACCCATCAGGAGCACCCCAAGTCCTGGAGGGGAGGTGGGGGAGTGAGACCATCCCAAGAAGAGCCAGACTGAGGCATGGGACCCTAATGGGGGTCCCACACTGTGGGGGTGCCCTAGGAGGGGCTCCAAACTTGCACCTTGGACAGAGGCCATCCCAAAAGTGTCCCCAAGGGTGGACCAGGAACCTCCTGGAGCAGTTCACCCCAGGGCTGCCACTGAAAATGTCATGAGTGTCCACCCAGGCCCCTCCTGGGTGTGCCACCCCTCTTCCCCCTGGCTTTGTGGGGCTTCTTTGGGGACCTCCCATGCTACCCTGGGGACACCCCCCAAAAGGGGTTTCCCCTTTTTTGGGACCCCCCCCAGTGGCCTCCCATTGGGGACACCCCTATGGAGTGTCATTGGGGACCCTTGGATGTGGACTGGTGGGGGTTTGGGGTCTCCAACTCTCACCCCCTCTGCTTCTTCAGGTCCTCCAGGACCATTGTCCTGGATGCACTGCTCCCCCAGGATCGTTTTGGGGCTGGTTTTGGGTGGGATTTGAGGGTTTTTAGGGTTCCGTACCTGCTGCCCCCACTGCTTCTCCAGGTCCTCCAGATTTTTCTGGGCCAGGGCATCATACTGAGCCCGCAGCTCTCCCAGGACCTTCCCTAAATCCTGTGACTGCGGAGCGTCCACCTCCACCGTCAGCGCTGACTGCGAGGCCTGCGCCCGCAGGTCCTGCACTTCCTGGAGGCAGCATGGGTCAGTTTGGGGTCCCACAGCCCCTCCCAAGCCCCCCAAGTCCTCTGGACCCACCAGGTCATGGTCCTTGCGCAGCAGGATCAGCTCCTCACGCAGGGCCTCGATGTCCCCCTCGAGCTGCAGCCGCGTCATGTTGGTGTCGTCCAGGACCTTGCGCAGCCCGGCGATGTCACTGTCCACAGACAGGCGGATGGCCAGCTCTGCCTCGAACCTGGACACGCCGCAGGAATGGAGAGCCAGGGTGGCTGAGCCTGGAGCTGAGCCAGCCTTGTGCCCGTTCTTTACTTTGTCCTTGTCCTTGGCCCTGTTTCTGTCCCTGATGTATCCTTGTCCCCCACCCCCATCATCAGTCCCATTTCCATCCCCAACCCAACACAGCCTTTTCCTCATCCTCGTTCAATCCCCATCATCCTCAGCCCCGTTTCCATCCCCAACACATCCTTCTCCCCATCCCTGTCCCATCCCCATCCCATTCCCATCATCCTCATTTCCTTCTCCATTTCCCTTCCCATCCTTGTCCTCATCTCTATTTTCAATTCCATCCCATCTCCTTGTCCCACCCTCACCTCATTTCCATCTCCAGCCCCACCTGACCTCATCCCATCACTGTCTCCATCCATGTTCTTATCCCTGTCTCATCTCCTCTGCCACCTCCACTCATCCTATCTTTGTTCCTGTTCCCATTCTCATTCTCATCCTTCTCCTTGTCTTCATCCCCATTTTTATCCCCTGTTCCCATTCCCATTCCTGTCTC